TTGGCTGGAATTTCTTCATGTCTGCAATGGAGACCAGGATCTCTGGGCAGAGAATGAGACTGCTCTGTGCAGATTTGGATTTTATGAACTTGCTTATTACAAAGAAATATTAAGTGATTGGTTTATGGAGATATATTGTAGCCTAGAGATTGCTCACAAATTGTTTGTTGCAAGCGTTGCCCCCAGGACTGTCAAATTACTGTTCTGTGCTTTCTACCTGGTCACCTCAATTGCAAGTTACTGTTTTATGCTCCCTGACAGATTGGCTCCACTAAGAGTTTCCAAGGAGGCTGTGCAAACACTGACAGCAAGCAGTCACTCGTGAACGTATAGCCATAGAAATATTTACTTGACTTTTCCTACCAGATATATCTGACGTCTTCATATGTTTGTTTAAAGGGAGTTGAAAGAGGAGTAGATACGGTCAGAGCAACGTGCAGAGTTTGTCCACAGACATGAACAAGAATATTGTCATGGTATGAGTTGAGCTCCAAGCACTGCAAGTCCTTCCTTGCTTGGACATTGACTTCAGACCTGTGATGAATTGTTTTGCTGATGTATTGGTAGCTTTTGTTCATAGTTCTTACTCTAGTGCAGAGAGTAGTGATAGTGAGGTCTCGGTAGGTACACATGGTGAACAGCAAAACCTTGGCAGGAAGTTTTCTAGGCAAGAGGCCAGAAACAAGAAACATAACAGAAGAACCTTTTTGACTTAATAGCGTATTCTTTCTAGACCAAAACCTTTGCTGGTAAGGAAGGTGTTGCAACCTGATTGCTTCTGGTGCTTAAGCAAGTGTTATTCATTCATAGACTTTGGAAAATAAAAAGCAGCAGGACTCTTAAGATCTTACAGTGTGAGCATCCAGTAGTGGGGGTCTCAGTGTTGCTGCGGCATGCAGTATCACTTGGAGAAAACTCTTCAAAAGGGCGATAGTTGATAGTGATATCTTTGCTGATAGTAGGTAACTGCAGAAGTATTTATTAGCAGTGAAACATACTGCAAGAGCTGAGCTGTGTGTTTATATTCGTGTTATAGGAGCATGTGTTAAATGCCTTACAAATGCACCGTGTGTTATACAATCCTAGAGTCTCATCTGAAATGCATTTATAAATATTTAAATAGACAGCAAAATAAGAGGAGTTTCCTAAGATACATTGCCATCGTGAGCTGTCTGGACAGTTAACAAGCTATACTCAGGGTAACAGACCATGGGCTGCAAAAAGTGCTTTTTTTTTGTTTGTTTTATGTGTTTGTTTTTTTGTTTGTTTGTTTGTTTGTTTAACTAAAAATATTTATCTGGAACCTCGTAAATCCTGAGACCATTAGGGCAGAAACAGCACCGCTCAGATCCGTAGCTGCCTGGCTGGTGAACTCAGCTGGCAAGATGCAGTGATGTTATGCTCTGCTTGCTGGTTACTTGAAAGTGCAATGTGACCTCCTCACAGTTAGAGGCTTTTGATGCAGAGTTAATAAAATTAAAAGAATAACATGTCTTAGATGGAGCATTCTGTGGTCTTAATGTAAAATGAAATTCTTTTTTTTAACCCTGGTTTTATTTTCATTTTAGTTTCTCCTGGTTGACTCTCTTTTCATATCATCATTATTTTCTTCCTGTTGTTTGCCTTAGATCAGGAGAAAGGTCTGATGGCAGTCTCCATTGCATTTGGCTAATCATATGTTGATACAATTATATGTCATTGCCCTGGCAAGTACAATTACAGTTGTCAGAGGTATGCCAGTATTACCTGAAATTCAGGATTTCAGAAAGCATCAGAAGTTGTCCACGTTGACTAAGATTAATGACATGCTTTTGCTAATACTATTGTGTTCTTTTTTTTTAACGTTAATTCAGGAGTTCCCTGCTAGATGTCCTACAAAACCTAAGAAAGAGATAAGGGGAAAATCACCATCTTTGCATTTCATTGCTCTTTCTGAAGCTTGGCATGCCTTCATAAAAAGTAGTTTCAGTATTATATTGAGCATAACAAGAAACTAATGAAATACAGCATTAGACTAGAAACAAAGGAGGTCATGCTTTTGACCTCCGCCTGCTCACCTTTCTTCTCAGAGATGGCTGCTGCAAGCATTGTTGGATGGCTAGTCAAGGATCTTTATGAACTGTTTGTAGTGTTTGAGGGGTTTTGATTTCTTGACAGGGCTTACACAGCACCTTTTGCTTTCCCTCAGGTAATATCCAGTATGCTTAGAGTAAGTTCTTGCTTCCCTGAGTGCCAAAATTGCTATTGCCAGAGCAGCTAGTAACACTGATTATCCAAGAAGAGAGTCTGGAGAAAAAAGAATGCCTCATCCACCTTTTCCATTTGGGTATGCAGTTCAGCTCTGCGTGCCAGCAATACAGCCTAGGCTCACTAGGACAAACTGCTGCATCCTCAGGCAGGACCATTCAGCTTCTGGCAGATCTAAAATACGCCGGGTCCTGTTGGCTCCCAAGAAACATAAATGGGTAACGAGCAAGCCACCAATAGAGAGCTTCACAGATAAATGGAAATCATTTGCTATGCTAGCATGTTACACTGTGTAGGTGTAATAACTGTGTGTGAAGCAGGCCAAGGAAGAGTGAGCTTTCTGAGAAGTGCCGCTTCCTATTTGGTTACTGCTACTTAGAGTCTGATGTGATGTTCCTAGGAAGGCGTCAAGAAGCATTAGCAAAAGAGTTGCAGTTTGCAGGTCCCTAGAGGTATTGCTGCTTGTCAGTTGGGCTGTGCTGCCTTGCTGGAGGAGAAATGGTTGGAAAGTGCATTTACTTTTCTTCCAAGAACCTTGTTGTACAGAATTTTGGGACTGAAATTTATTGTGAAAAATCTTGTGCTCACAAGGATTGTCTTTCTTCACTCTGTATGCCAAGATTTGCTTGTCGTAGCCATTAACCCAAAAAATCATAGAACTGTGTGCAAGAAATGTATGCAAAAAAGGAACCTGTTGACTTTTGGAAAACATGAAGCTGTGAGAGACTAGACATCCTGCTTTGAAAGTGGCCATACTCTTCCATTGCCAATTTTGGACAGTAAAGCTGAAGTTGTATAACTGAGCTTTTGGGGATCGTGTAATGTAGGCTGAGGTAGTTTGTATGTTGAGGGTTTTTGAAATGGTCAGGAGTTCTTGTAGTTTGGGGGGTTCTGTTGCAATCAGAAAGCCTTCTGTTTGAAAATGAGAATACGGGATGATAGCAGCTGGAAGAAATGACTTCATGGAAAAAAACTTTGAGTTCCTGTTTCAATATGGTCAATAAAATTCCATTATTTTCTTAAAATAATTAAGTCAAATGAGCATTTAGTTTTGAAGGAAATAAATAAATGACCAAACTTTCAGGCACATTAATATTTGATTTGGAGATAACTGCATAAATATTGAATTTGAGGATTACATTCCAGAGCACTGCATTAAAATTGCAAGACTTTTCTATTATCCTTCATAATGGAACATGAAATTAGAAACTTGTTCATGGAAAGAAAAATTCTGCTGCTCACGTCTGCACACTCTCATGCACTGTTGTGTTAACAGAGGAGCTATTCTTCTCATACTGTGAGAAGAGAGACAGAGCTATCAGCAGGATATAGACCCTGAAGTCATTTGTGGTCCTCTTGAAAATTAATACGCGCTGTTTTATAACTTCTTCTCGGTTCTTTGATTGGTATGGAATGAAACTTAAGGGAGTCAGCATACAAGGTGGGCAGACGCTCCTGTTCCCAGACGTAGCATTCCAGAAAGGTTTGGTGTTCCTTAGCTTTTGCTTCATTTCTCCTTCCTTGGGCTGCACATGTTTAAGGACCATTTAAATGTTTTCTTGACTTCCTAACCCTAAAACATTTCTAAGAAGCCTGATACCACAGCTGGTGTAGCTCAGTATTGTTCGGGCAAGGCAGCGTGCTGCCCCAGCAGCAGTGGCTCCAAGGGCAGGCGCTGGGGGGCTGCTTCTTCTGCCAGTGCAGCGTGGGGCAGGGTGAAGCTGGTCTCACACCATCTGTGCTCAGCCCAGAAGGAAATAAACTTCTTAGGCTGTGCTTCTCCCAGTAGGTTCTGCAACTTCTGTTAGCCGGCAGTCTTAAATCCGGTGAGACCTGCGGTCTTGGCCCATTAGCTTGTGCATGTTCGTTACTACAAACAGCCTGGTTAGCTGGCGTTTCTTACTCCTCGGAACACGTGGGATGTATTCAGTACAGCAACTTGCTGTTATTAATGCACTCAGTCCCCATGCGTAAATGCGTGCTAATTCATGGCTGTCCTGCTTCCCTTTTGGGGAAATTATTCTGAAAATGGAATAACAAATAGAAACCTGTATCAGACGGTCCCCAAGCATGTGTGGGCATCCAGTCCAACGTGTTTGCAAACAGATTGATTTCCCAACTCTTTATTCTTGTTATATTGGTCTCAAATAATTCATTTCCATAACACTACAGTTCTGCAGTTGCTCCTCGTATTCATGGTTCAGCAGTAAACAAAACATTCCCTATAGACTTGAAAATGGAGCGAACATACTCATTCTACAGCAAAGAGCAATGCAATTGTATTTCTTCCTAATTAACTATACCCCAGTAGAAGAATTCATGGAATAATAACATAGAAGGTAATTGGTCATTTTGCCTTCCTGTAGAGTTTGCTGTTTTTCAAAAACTACACGTTTATTTTGAGGCAGAAGCCTATCACACAGGTTGGGCTTCATTCCTTTTTACATTATGGAGGTTTTCTGGTGTAAAGAGTTAATGAACATTACAGATTTTCACACCACAGTTTTGTCTTAAGACAACAGAAGGTGTAAATGACGTTTAAAAGCATTCTGTTGATCTTTGCCCCTATAACTGAATGTATAAATTATTAATCATTTATTAAACCTCTCTGTGTTATTTGTGAGTAGAGCAGACATAAACAAGTGACCTCTTTATCCTTTTCTTGTTTGAGAAAGTAGCTTCTTTATTTATAGAGCTGGTGCTGGTAACAAAACACAAATTAACTTCTAATGGCTGGTTTTGTACTCCCTCAGATTTATTCGAAAACAGGGGCTGGATCGGCTTTTCCTGGAGTGCGATACGCACATGTGGCGCCTGGGGGACCGGAAGATCCCAGAGGGAATCGCCGTCGATGGAGGGTCGGACTGGTTTCTTCTCAACAGAAAGTTTGTGGAGTACGTGACTTTTTCCAACGATGATCTTGTAACAAAGATGAAGAGGTTTTATTCTTACACATTGCTGCCTGCTGAGGTATGTGAATTCAGAGCAATCCTTCTGTTTTCAAAACTGCAACTTTTGTGCTTGTCCCAGAGATCACAGAATCCTAGAATCATAATGGTTGGAAGAGCTCTCCAAGATCACGTGGTCCAACCATCCCCCTGCCACCGTCACCCACTAGGCCATGTCCCCAAGCACCACGTCCAACCTTTCCTTGAACACCCCCAGGGACAGTGACTCCACCACCTCCCTGGGCAACCCGTCCCAGTGCCTGACCGCTCTTTATGAAAGAAAATTTCTCCTAATTTCCAACCTAAACATCCCCTGGCATAACTTGAGGCCATTCCCTCTGGTCCTATCACTGATTACCTGTGAGAAGAGGCCGACCCCCAGCTCCCCACACCTTCCTTTCAGGTAGTTGCAGAGAGCAATGAGGTCTGCCCTGAGCCTTCTCTTCACCAGACCAAACACCCCCAGTTCCCTCAGCCGCTCCTTACAGGACTTGTGTTCCAGGACCTTCTCCAGCTTCTGGACACGTTCCAAGGCCTCCATGTCCTCCTTGTAGTGAGGGGCCCAAAGCTGAACACAGCACTCGAGGTGCAGCCTCGCCAGAGCCGAGTACAGGGGGACAAGCACCTCACTGGTCCCTCTCAAGCCCCTCTTAAGCCCTAAGCCCCTCTTAAACTCAGCTGAGTAAAGGCTGCGCTTCACACTAAGGGACGGGCCCTGACCCGTGTGTGGAAATCAGAGGATTTTGCCTGATTTCAGTGGGCTTGGAATCATCCTGCTGTTGGTGATGAAAATTTGACTCTCGTGATGAGTAAGACCTTTAGTGTTAGAACTACTTTTGCAGTTGTTCAGTCGATTTCTTTGTTTGTGGGACATCTTTCCAACGAGTGGCTTTGTTTGATACTTTTAAGCCTATTAATCAATTACTGAACAACCAAAAATCCGGCTGCTATTTACTTGTGAATTGTTCCTCTGCAAAGCCTTTGAAGGCTATTAGACCTGGTGAATTGTCTTCATAAGTAGCTTTCCTCACTATTACCCATCCCTTTTATTTAAGAATAAGAATTCTACCAACAAAGGTTTATTGTTCTGTTCAAAATTCAGCTAGAAGGCATCATCACAAGCCATTTAGATCACTCAGGAATTGTTTGGCTACATGTGGTGCAGACAGGAGCACACACCAGGATGGGTTTTTGTCTGGCATGCAGCAGTTTGTCACGGAGATGTGGTTTCTCCAAACAGAGCCTGGAGCCTTGCAGGCTGTGCTATACCTGCCCAGCAGGTACAGCACTGCCCTGGCGTGTCAAGCTCTGCTCCCAGGGTACGTAGCATGCAGCCATCCCAATGAGACCCTGTGACTGCCTTTAAAATGACATGCTTTCATCCTCGCTAGCAGCCCCTGAACATTCTGAGGGATTGATGAGACCAATCTTGCAAATTTAGGCTTATTAGCTTGCAGTGGAGTGCAGCGATTGTCATCTTATGATAGGAGTTTATTATTCCACACACATGTTAAATAATCTTGCTTTAATCCCATTTCTGTTAAAAATCACCTTTTCTCTCAACTCCGATAACCTTTTCATCCATTATCTAGGAAAAATTTCTGTATCATTATGAAAGGACACAGAGCAATGGGTAATTGGGTAGGGTTTTTTTTTCTTCTTCCTCTCGCTTGAATGAGAATGGATGCCTTTATGGGTTTAACCACACAGTTCAAGCATAAAATCCGTATTCACTGAGCTGTCATTTAACATTAAAAAGGGTAGGGGGATTATTTGGGGGCCAGCCATGCTAGTGTTTTGCTGGTTATTTATAGATATTGCTATTACTGATTTTAAAGAGAAGTCACTGCTCCTAAAATTATCTCTTGCAGAGCTAAATTTGATCTTATTCCATAGCTTCTCTCTACAAGATTTTCTTTGCAAGATACATGACAAGCTTCTTAAAATCACCCTGCCTTCACTGACCTGTTAACCTGCTATATCAGTCCCCATTACTCATGATTTATGTAATAGCTGATACTACGGAGATATAATTAGGATAGCCCAATAGGAATTCCTTCGTGCCTTGAGTCAGCAAATAAAGACTTATGATTTCAGCTGTAATTGCAGGAGGCAGAATGTCCTTCTGATGCCTGGGGTGAACTGTGTATTTCAGTACAAGGCCATTCAACTACCAGTGGTTTCAGAGTGCTGGAAGATGCACTAGACCCACACAGGAGCTGAGACCATTTTGCGTAGTTACCAGGGTGGTGGCTGTGGTTTGAGAATTGTCTTCAGAAACAACTTGAGATTTATCATCAATACATTGCTCAGGAAAATAGTCCTAAATCTGTTAGACCATTAGGACTAAGTTACAAAGAGAAAAAATGGGAGTTTCTAAGAACTGCTCTTACAGCTGAAATAAAAGTGAAGTAATTGCTAGCACTGATGCCTTTCCTGGAGCCCTTTGGATCCCGATGCCCAAAGCTGGTCATTTCAGAAGTATGATTATTCTGTGCTATGTTATTGTGGAATGGCCTCAACTGTATGTTATTACAGTTTGAGGGTGTCTGTGTGTAGTGTGCTGGGATTTTTCAGGCTCGATAGAATGTGTATGTGTGGAGTGCTCTTCGTACATGGCAAAATGGTAGAGCTCAGTAATTCTCGCATTCTGAGAGAAAGTAAGTCACCTGCATTAGCTTCAGGCCCATAGGAAAGAAAGTCCAAAGGCCTGAATGCACTGATCTGATCTGTTTTCTTGCAGTCCTTCTTTCACACTGTTCTGGAAAATAGCCCATACTGTGACTCCATGGTGGACAACAATCTGCGCATCACAAACTGGAATCGTAAACTTGGCTGCAAGTGTCAGTACAAGCACATCGTTGACTGGTGTGGCTGTTCACCTAATGACTTCAAACCAGCAGACTTCCACAGATTCCAGGTAACTGAACTGTTCTCTTCTCTGGTACCCACAAAGTAGGTTTTCCACCTCTGCCAGGGTGTGGAGAGCAATCCAGCTACTTGGCTGCGGCAGGTTGTAGGAAGGGAAGCTTCCACCCCATTGAGCAAGGTGGAGAAAGAGTTGTGAGGATGCTCTCATCTTCACTTTAGGAGAATGACAAATCTGCTCTTCTGTATTTGAACCCTTGACTGCTGTGTGGCAAGGTCCCAAGTGGGGAGGCTCTTTGGACCGGTGGATCTGGCGTTGGTGGGTCTGCTGTGCTAGAAAGGAGGGAAGTTTGACACACCTCACACTGCAGCGGTTTGGTTTGGTTTTTGAAGTTCCAGCTCAGGTGCTTTTGTGATTTCATGAATGTCATGGCTTTCATTATGTAGAAGTGGTTTTTTTGTCTTTGGAATAAGGCTTAAAAATGAGTGCCTGCTAGTCAACCAGGCTTGGCAGGACTGCCTCAAAAAGTTTAATCAGTTCCTTTGTGATACGATTTCCTCAAGACAGACATGAGAGCAAATCCTTGTGCTCAGGGGAGCACTGGCTCTCCAGACTGTATCTGGCCTGTGTATCCTCTGTTAAGAATGAATGACTGCTTGTTTCAAGGTCACCAGATCTGCAGTTCTGTCCTTACAGCTCCTTGAGGTTCCCTGCATAAAGCATATTTGTTCAGGCTTTGTGTGGGATGGGGAATGTGTTACCCTACAGCACAAAAATGATGACTGCTTCAAAACAGAGACCATTTCTTTATTGTACTGTGCTGCTTACCAGACACGACTGAAGTCAGTGACACAGGCACTGACAAAAAGAGCAAATGAGATGTGATCTAAGAGGGGCTCTGCTGTCCCAGACTCTGATCCCAGGAAAATCTCCAGCACACAATAAATGGCAAGACTTAAAATGCTCCTGCAAGTCTGCAAAGGCTGACCTGCTCCGGGCTGGGAAAACAACCCACAACAACATTTCAGAAAACAATCAGGCAAACTGAGCAGCAAGGGAAAGATCAGCATTAGAACAGATGTAAAGGCAACTTCTGACACTTGCCCGATAAGAGAGCCCCTCAGATGAACACACCGCACCAGAGGGCTTGCCAGCAGTTCCCACAGAGGCACAAAGCAAGCTGCAGAGGAGGAGATCAGAGAGCCCACAGTGTGTGCCGCCTCAGAGTAAAAATGAACATCCTCAAAAGAATTTTCAACCGTCTCAGGCACTTTTGAACTCCTTGGCATCTCAGAACCCACTAGCAAGGCAAAACAAAGCACTTTGAAAAGCTGATGGGTTTTAAGTTGTGTATAAACCAGTAGTGTACCTGCAATTGTGTCAAGTGCAGACCAAAAATCTCTATGGGATCGGTCAGAAGCTGAGAAGCCTCAGCCGCAGGGTGGCCTCTCTCCCAGAATCCTGTTACCACCATAGCAACAAATCCATACAGGCAAAATGCTGCTCTGCCTCTTCTGAGTCCCATGCTCACAGGATGCTTTGCTGCCTGCCTGCCTAATGACATGTTCCAGTGCCGCAGGGTCTCCAGGCTGACACAGAGAGAGCCTTCCCCGTCCCTTCTGCATGTGGAGAGCCTTCCAGAGCAAGGCAGTGGGAGGTGGCTTCTGGCACAATGTGGTTAGCACCTGCAGAGAAAAAGTAATGTTGTCTTCTGCCATGACAGTTATCTTAAATTTCTTGCACAGATTTTTTTTTTTTCAAAATTATACTGGTTCCTGCTAACCGGGTATTTGGGAATAATAGAGCTGCTGTCTCACAGTCTTGATATCCAGACTTTTGTGTTGCTTCCCTAGAAGCTAGCCATCAGACCCGGCTGAGGCAGGTGCAGAGGAGGGCTGGAGAAGGCTCTTGAATTAGGGTAGTGTCTGGCTTAGAGAATTAGTTCTGAGGAGAGAAACAAGGCATTCATGCACTAAGATAAATAAAACGAGCATTGCTTCAAGTGACTTTTTTCTGCAAATACGCAAAAATGGACATCAGGGAAAGAACCCAAGCTGTGCGGTAATGCTGGTATCTCTGTGGGCTATGAGGATAACTGCTTTTGAAACCAGACGTGAAAGGAATTTGTGTCTGTGTCACTAGTCAGGTGAAAGCACCATATTTCGTCTTGAGTTACAGCAGCCATTTTTATTGTATTTACACCAATAAACAAAGCAAGACCAGACCGTGGGCTAAGAACTGGCACACAGTAATCCACACTGTTTAAATGTTAGCATTCTCTGTGGCATATTTTTGACCCATGCCAACTAACAATGCCCGAGCATGGCTCAGGAGAAAGGGCCAGGGGTTGTTCCCTACAGCCAGCGCAGGTAAATGAGGCCCCTCTGTCCATAGGGAACAGTCCAAGCTGTATGGATGCAAGCTGCATCACACCACTTGTCCTCAAGAGCAGGAGGATGAGCCCTGCCCTGTTTTATTCACCAGCATTAGCTCTGTCTAAATAACCTCCTACAGCTTTGTTTTCACTGAGACATGTTCGCACATTGCATTAGCTATTCTGCTGTAAATAGTCTCTTCCCTGTGAGAGTATGTGCCTGCAGAGTAGTTTGTAAAGTGATTGAGGAATTGTGACTGAGTTTTAAAAGTTCACCTTACCTTAATGCAAGTTGACTTCCAGGGTTATCCTAGCCATTATTTCAAAACAACTGACCCACTTGAACCATTTAATTGGATGACGCAAATGATGGAGTTGTGTGTTATTTGTTCTGTCTGTCCTCAAACAGAAGGGATAAAATGCATCATAAGAGATGGATATGAAAAATGTTGAATTTCTGATGTTTTAAATGGCTACTTGTCACACTCAATTTGTTTTTCTTTCAAAAATGTTTTTCAAACCAATAAACAATGTACAGTGCTCTAAAATCCCATGTCCAAGTAACAAAGGATCCTTTTCTATCAGAAGAGTAACAGTGCAACCCATGATTTTCCTTAAACTGCCCATTTTATTTAACACGATTTTTACCATATCCTACATATTAGCAACAGCCATAACATCTAATTTGCCTTCATTTTCATGTCCTAAAATGATTTAGCATTTTCCCCTCATTTGAATGCAGTACTGCCTGAAAAATCAGGAAGATAAGGTTGTCTGCACAATATATCGAGGAGAGCTACAGAGACTGCTGTAATCACCCCGTTCAGTTGGGGTTTCACATAACAGCAGTATGTTCTCTCAAAACCTCAGCATCATCTCCCCTAAGCTTCACTGATGGAGAACTTCCCAGTAAGGGCACCTGAAGCCTACTGGCTGGTATGGAGACCTCTGCTGGGCTTCTCTGTTGGTCTGATCTGATTCAGCATCCTTGGTGGGCATTGTGAGCCTTATTCCTGTTTGCAAAGGAATTTATTCTGAAAGGGTGACGCTTAGCCCAGGGCAGAGCATTCATGTGGGGCCGGCCTACATGGAGGCGTCGGGCTGGCTGCATGCAGGTTGGCCTCACGTCATGGCCGCCTGTTCTCCGCAGGACAGGCTTGCAGGGAGGGCAGGACTCTGCATTTCTGCAGCAGAGCAGAACCATTTTCACCGAGGAATTGCATAGTTTGTATCTGAATCTCACCACGGTCACTGTTTAAGTCACCTTTGGCTGTGGGAAAGTTCTCTTCATGCCCTCAGCTCCAACCGATTGCTTAGGACAGTGTCGTGACTGAAAATGGGAGCTCACTCTGGTGTCTTTTCCTTTTGTATCCCCACAGCAGACTGCCAGGCCGACTTTCTTTGCCCGCAAATTTGAAGCTGTGGTCAATCAGGAGATAATTGGCCAGCTGGACTACTACCTGTACGGCAACTACCCGTCTGGCACCCCCGGCCTCCGGTCATACTGGGAGAACGTGTACGACGAGCCCGATGGCGTGCACACCCTCAGCGACGTCGCGCTCACCATGTACCATGCGTTCTCCCGCCTGGGCCTGCGGAGAGCAGAGACTTCATTTCACACTGCTGGAGACAACAGCTGCCGGTTAGTTTGGGTCGTTCTGTCTTTTTTCTGGGTGTTTCTGAGGAGGCAGGCCGGACTGCAGGATGCTGGAGGAGGTTCATCCACTTGGATGTCCTGGCTCAGAGCACAACAAACAGGGCCAGGCAGCTGCAAGAGTAAAGCGCTTATTTCCAGGAGTATTTATGCCTGTAATAAACTGTTGGTTAGTCAGGGCTGACGTTATGTGACCTGTTTTCTGCACTTTTAAGGAGCTCCTTTGCAGCCTGATGAAGACTGACAGAATCCAGTTGGGCGCTGCTGCCCCCACTGCTGCGTTTTCTTTATTAATTTCAGTGAGTGTATTATACCCACAGCTCCTAAACCCTCCATGTGATTGCAGCAGAGGTCATGTTCACCTCTATTATGCTTACGAAAAGCACAGGACAGGATTTCAGAATTAATCTAAACCAGGCTGGTTAATGGCCCTTGCTTGTTTGCTCCCCTGGGTGCACAGAGAACTACTTGCTCGAGCTGGGTTTGCTGCTTGCTTCCTGCAGCTGTCTGTGCCAAAAATCTTGCAACAGGTGGGATCCATTAACATCAAATAAATAAAGTGTATGTATATATAAATATATACATATATATAGCAAATAAAGGCCCTTACTGGAGAAAAAAAAAAAAAAACTTATGTGAAAAATGAATTTAAAATACGTAAGTCTAGCAAATAAGAGTTCAGTGTAAAACGGTTTTGAAGGAAGAATTCCTGGTTTTAGACTTCAACAGAAAAGACTCACCTCATGGTGGATGCTTGCTGCCTGCAGACACATCTGAAGCTGTTTAGATTCAAAGCTGAGAGGGTTCTTCTTTTAAAGTCTTACATTACAGTCTCTTAATTCCTTCTTCAGAGTGTATTTTTGGGACCCTGCTTTTTGTAATCTTAATGGAAAACACATACAGCCTAAGTCAGCAAGCATGGAAGAGAGTACTTGTGTTTTGACAGATAGAGTTGGCCTCTCTTGTGTTCTTTAAGGAACTGAATGCGCCGTGACCTTCTTACCTAGTCATGGAAGTGCTGAGCAATGTCCTATTTAGAAAGATGTGGCACTAAGTGGTCCAGATTCCTATTACAGCCTTGCCAGTAAAGGTTACCAGTGCAAAGCAATAAATGATCAATAACAATTAGATATAAATAATCACTAGTAGCCTGACTTCCTTACATGAAATAAAGGCAGACCAAAAGAAGTCCTGGGGTCATTTGTCCTGCGGAGTGAAGCCAGCAGCGAGGATGAGAGCTATGTATAACCAGTACTGAAATAATTTAACAATTACTTCTGTGCTTATTCCTTTTGGTGGTGTTCCGATGATGATTTATATCAATAATGAGTTTCATTTCTGGGGAGCTTTTCACTGCACAGGAACTCAAGGTGCTTTTCAAGCTTGCTCAGATTATATATAGGGAAGTCGCATCATCCCCCACTGAATGCAGCTGTCTTCAGGATAAAGCAAAGCTCCTTTACAGTGGGCTGCAGCCTCACAAAACAGTGCAAGGAACAACTGCAAGCAGTGATAGGTAGCGGAGGCTTCATTTTCATACCTACCTAAGCCCCCTCAAAGCATCAGTGTCCAGTTTAAATCACAGAAAAATGGGTAGCCCTCAGGTTTATGATTCACATCTTTTCTCTCTGGATACTCTGTTGTCTTTCCACGTGTGCATATATGCACTTACTCCTGCCCTCCCGTAATTTTGCATGTCTCTAAAGCAGTAACAGCAGGAATATATTTGGGCTGAGCACCTTGACAATATTCCCTGTGCCGTTAGGGCCCGCAGCAGCAGGAAGTTAGCTGATATTGCAGTCACAACCCCAGCTCATTTCACACTGCTGCAGGCACTGCGAGGAAAGCCTCGACCGCTTCACATCACATTTGGAGTCAATCCCATGCTGCCTCCCACAGCTGCCCAGGAGACTTCTGTAAGAGAAGCTGCCTTGCACACTTTTCTAACAAGGGCTAGCTCACAGCGTCAAAAAGATGTGCCCCCTGCAGACTGCTCTGGTACCAAATTAGATTGCATATCAGCATCTTCAGTGGAAGCAATGCTAATGTGCGATTGAGATTTAATTTATTTCTCTCCACATCTCTAGATGTTTTTACTCACTGCTGCCAAGAGACAATTTACTCAGACTATTTCAAGAATATTGTAAATATTTGCTGCTGCGCATATATAAAACAGGAGGCCTTAGTGCTCTGCACAGAAGTCAGATTGTTGTTGATATTGGCTGCATAGCTTTGCTGTGCTCTTCCTCAGTCCTTCAGTGCTGCCCCGTTTGTACCCCGTCTTGTTATCTGTATTTCTTAGGCTCTAGAGACTTCCTTCTGGGTGTTGCTGGTGTCTGGTAATGGGAAGTCATTCTTGGTTAGCTCTCTTCCTGCTAGTTTCTTGGGCTATAATAACTCGCATAAGGGGTCAGTCTTAGCTGACTTGACTGGGAAGGTTTGATACTGGTTGGTTCTAAATGTGTTAGAAGCACACCTGTTTGACAATTAACATCAGGGCTGTGAGTAGCAAATTACTCGATTTCAGAGCCATGAACATATTTTAAATTGTTTTTTCATCCATATGTGCACACATACATCATCGCAATTCTTTCTAAGATTACAGCAGACAATTGACCACAAGTTTTAATTATTTGAATCAATGACTACATGGTCTTTGAAATCCAAACCATAAGAGAAGGCTCCCAAGTATTCCAATTAGAGGTTTTTCCTTTTTGTTTGACCTTTTTTCTCCCGTTTCTTTTTAATTATGAGAAAGTAAAAAAATAAAAATAAAAAAAATGGCAATTTCCATCTCAAATCTTTAAGGAACATGAAGTCCATTCCCTAAAATATGGGGACTGGATCCTAGTGTCCACCACTGCTGTGCAACCCTGCAGAGCGCTGTCCCTGGGGCATGATCTGGAGACCAGATTTATTTGCACAGCACGGTGTGGGGCATCAGCTCGCCCTCGCCCAGCCTCACAGCACCCTCTGCTGTCCCCAGCCTGCTGCTGTCCCATCATCAGGTACCACTGGGGACTAACCCTGGTGAGGGCAGAAAAAAAGAACGCTGATTCAGAGCAATAAATACATTTCATGAACATCATTTATCCTTATAAACAACCTATTAATTTATATCTATGGGTGACACTTTTTACCCACTTTTTTACCCAGTTAATAAGGGAGAGGGGTTTTCTGGCATGTGGAGGTATCTCCTAAGGAGCTTAAAGCTCTGGGTAGCTTCTGAATGAGTTTATATTCTTAGTAACTTCTATGTTTTAGGGTAATCAGAACAGCCTAAGAATATTTGATAATGAGTCATGAACACATTTGAAATCTCTTAATGTACAGTGGTGAATTTTCTAGTTAAAATGAATGCTTCTTAAGCCATTATCTCCAAGTAAGTGGAGATTTCATGTCTCTCATGTGTAACCAATGGGTGTGTGCATGTGCTGTTTTACAGATACTATCCCATGGGCCACCCAGTTTCTGTCCACCTTTACTTCCTTGCTGACCGTTTCCAAGGTTTCCTAATTAAACACCATGCCACCAACCTGGCTGTCAGCAAACTAGAGACTTTGGAAACGTGGGTAATGCCAAAGAAAGTCTTCAAGATCGCAAGTCCACCCAGCGATTTTGGAAGGTTACAGTTCTCAGAGGTGAGTATTCATAGCCACCCAAACGATTGCATGCTAGCTCAGCAGCCTTTGGAAATCATATTTCCATGTAATTTTTAGCTCAGAGTGGCTCTGCAGTGTAATGCACAGCTTCTTTTTTAAAGGCAATACTGTGGTGAACCGTCACTTCTTACGTTACCCTGAATATTCTCATTCATTGCTGACAAACTGAAGGTGTTTACTGTTGTAAAACGGGCTCAGAAACTTAAAAGTTTTGTGATTGTGATTGTTACGACTGCTGTGAAAGGTACGTGGGAGCTGAAAAATGTGATGTTTCTGCAGCTCCAGATGTGAACAGGGATGTGGTAAGCATTCCTCTCAAGAATATGCTGGGGGGAAAAAAAAAAATGTACATAAAGCTAGTGATAGGCAGCAGTGCCACATATGAGTATAATATTGATACTGTAACATGGAAGAGAAAATTATCACAGCAGTGGATGAGATTTCCCACAAATCCTGTTATTTCTTGTAGGGAGTTGTCTCCGCATCTGACGTGCACTGTAAAAAGTGTTCTCTAAAATACATCAGGAAAGTTGACCACTAATAGGACCTGACATCTTTGTTCTGTTTTAAAGATACAACTGTCTGAGCAGTTAATTTCGTGATTTTTCTTGTTAAGCCACAAATTTCAATTAAGGCACAAAATTGATTGAACAAATGCGTTCCAGTCATTATGGCCAAGTCCATAAATTACCGTCTTCTTGGGCAATTAAGAAATGCCTAGGTAGGATTCAGTGTTTTGGTGTGCATGGCAAATCCATGACATTAATGTGCCATTAAAGAGATGGATGGAAGGTGTGTTTCGTTTATCAGTGTGTCTGATGGTAGACTTGCCATTTCATGCAGTGATAAATGATCATACAGGCTTTAATTCTTGTGATTTGTAGGAGTACTTCTGCTGTTTATTTGATACTTTTAATCTCGCCTTCAGCCTGATGCCTGCTCTGAGTCTTTCTTTCGAAAGCAACTGGGCTGGCAGCAGGAAGAGTTTTTTCTAATTGCATGATCAAACCAAATACATTATCTCAGTATATTAGAACTCGAATAAAAGTATTTAGAAAGATTACATCTGACTTTGTTTCAGGTGTAGGGAGGAAGCAATCACGGGATCAGAATTTACTCACTGGCCACTTGCCCGGTTCCCCCTTTTCCCAGGGTATTAGAACCAAACCTTTTTTCCCCAAACGAGCCCTGCAGCAGCCACGAGCCTGGCCCACAGATGACCTGGAGCAGCAGTGCCCAGCATCAGTCTCCCCTGATGAAGCAGCAGCAGCATGTTGGTTGCTTTGCTTGCTGCTGTGCTGTGCTCACAGCTCTGCCGAGCATGGTGTCTTGCAGGGAGGATGCCCAAATCCCACCAGGCTAATGAGCCGGTCCTCATGGCCTCATGGACCACGGCTGGTCTGCAGACAGCCCTGTGTGGTCTGCTGCTGCAGCGACGCTGTGTGAGTGCAAAGCATGGGGAGGATTTAATCACCTCTCAGCTTTTTTCAGGCTGAGGAAATGTTTTCTTCCATTTAAAATCTGTGAAAACAGTTTTGGTGACTGCTTACTTGTTTTCATTATTTTTTCTCGCCTAAACTCATGAATGGTCCCCTCCTTTCATAGATGATTCATATTTTAAAAGCCCAGGAGGTGCAAAGTCAATCATTTAATGTTTTCTTAATTGTTTATTTTACTTTCTCCCTTCCCTTGGCCTGCAGTCATCTCTGCCTCTGAGCCAAATTATTCTCTCAGTTACTCTGGTATAAATCCAGCATTAACCTCTTCAGCTTCAGTATGGCTGGAAAGCCTCTCTGCTGCTGCTGCTAATTAAAATGCCACTTCCTTGTCAAAGTCCAGCAAGTGTAAAGCAAATTTAGCTGTTCGGCTAAGATGAGGGCACCAATGTTTAGCAGGTTAAACACCAGAAAAGAATCTTAGGATTTGAGCTTATTGAGACATGAAACTGCTGTGGTTTTTTTTCAACAAATTTTATCCTATAATCTGGCAGAAATTTAAAATGGAATGGAGGTGTTTGGGCTGGGAGCCTTTTCCCTCTCCCAGCTTACACCAGTGAGACCAACCAGGAAAAGCACAAATACACTGAACGTGCTCCTGGGTGTATTTGTGATGCTGAGACACAACCACAATGGCAGCAGAGATGATAGGGTCTCTCTGGGCAGGAGTCAGCCCTTCCTGCGCTCTGCTCCTTGGCTTTGCTGCTCACATTTACCATCTTGGCCAGGGTTTTTCACCATACGTCCCATAAAGGTCACCTCAAAAAATTAGCTGGCTGGGCTGCCTAACAGGCCACTGGGGTTAATAACTGTTTGAACTGCACAAGGCTTCTGCACTCATTCTTGGGCTGAGAAAATAAAATGACATTACAGGAAATCCAAGAGAGAAGATTTCCAATCATTTTCTCCTTTTCTTTTAGAAGTTCCCACATCTCCTAATGTTGGCTTGCACATAATGCTCACACTATGTATCCTGTTAGTCTGGATCCATGATAACTGCTACATGGAAAACAGAAGATTGATTCGCTGTGGAGCACTAGTCTCAGCTCAGAGTGTATCAGTGGAACACTAAGTTCATTTCTGGGCTTGTTAAGACTTGTGATTCATCACAGAGAATAAAATAAACTAGGTGGCAGGCAATTAGTGTGCATTGTGTGAACCTAATGGTCCTGTTTGTGGTGAGCAATGAGACACAAACCCATAATCAAGGCATAATTTATCTTGGGAAAATTTTATCTTGGTACTGAACAGAGATAGAAACAGGAGTTTTAAGCCAGTGAGCGAGTTCCAGCTTTCCAAGCATACCCCATGCTCAGTGCCTGCTCTTGAAGCCCAAAATAATGGTGATTAAAATAATGATGTGGAAAATGTCGGCTTCTCTGCCACATCCCTTCGTATTTTAACAGTTGTTCATTACTGCTCAATTCCAGCCCGTACTTTGTGCATTCCATTTGAAAGTGAAAGCCTACTTAAAATGTTTTAAGGGGCTATGAAAAATATTATAGGACTGTAGTATCTTTTGGCCTGTAAAATCAGACAATTCAGTACCAGGGACTCGACTGTGTAAAGTTCAAGAGAAGAGGTATAAACCTCTGAATAGTGCGTTAAGTAAAATTCCTTTAAAAATACTGTGCTTCTAAAACCAGCTTGTCCTGCAAGCTGCGCAGCATGAGCAAATAACTGGTAATAAACAGCAGGCCCTGTAAATAGATGGTGAAGCTCCCTGCCTTTCCTTCCTCTAGTGTCCTGTGGCCCTCCGTGAGATGGCAGGGGTGCTCCTGCCACATCCTTCAACTTTTTCTTTTGGGGTTGCAGCTGAACAGACCTGTTTGAAATCAGTAGCAGCCACTGAGGATGTGGACTCCCTGCCCCAGCTCCCTTCTTGGGACTAACACTGCTGTTTGATGCTGGTGAGGATAGATCTGCGTGGAGTTTCTTCTCACAGAAGGCAGGCGTCTCTCTGCTGGTGGAAAATCATTCTCAAAGACGAAGGCTGGCAGTACTTCCTAAAAGTTGTTCTAGCTTGAATTTCTTCAATGTCTCTAGAAAATCTCGAGATAGCAGGAGTTGCATAACATTATTCCCTTTCTCTTGAGGTTTGTTATCAGCCTTGCTTTAGAGGGGCTGCAGTATTCATAGATGAGACACAATCTTCTGCTTAGCTAGGCCTGATGCCATTTATTGCTTTGAACATTACTGGGATTGGTAAGGAGGCCTTTAGCATGTTTAATTCTGGAGGATGAAGTCATCTTTCTGAAAGGTAAGAAATACAGGGTATATTTCAGTAATAAATACTGGGTGCGGCACAAAGAGCTGTTCCTTACAGGGTTTTGTTTTCCCCAAGAGGGTGTGCATTTGTTGCACGTGTTGTGGCTTTATCATCTCCAGGTCTCCTGAGCTCCAGTAGGTGTGATACGGCCACACTCAGTGAGGGTCAGTGGAGTAGGTAATAAGATCTGGTCAGGAAATTTCCTTTCTGAGCTTATTTCCATAAGCTCAGTCAGTCTTGTCAGGAAGAGTTTGCACTGACAGCTCCTCACGGCAGTCAATGCTTGGGTCTGATAACTGGGCTATGCTGTCTAGTTGGATTAGCTGGCGTGCTAGGTGAAACACCTCTGAAATACCAGCCATTCTGCCGTGCTGATTGCAGAGTAGCAGAAGGCTCATTTTGTCTCTTACTCTGCAGTGTCATAGTCCTATAGGAGCAATTCATATGATGACAGATGGATTTGGGATGTTAGGTTTTTATTCCGCTGGCCTTGTGGCTTTCTGCTAGTAGTCCTCCTGTAATTTGTCTGCCAACCACAGTGATTGGTCTAAAAGGGACTGGGAACTGGACAGCTTCCCGTGTAGAGATCAGTGGTAGCTGACATCAGGTAAGTGTTATGTTTTCCAGGTCTGGGGGATTTGGGCATTATGTTGGGACCAGTTATTCTCAACAATTAAGGTGAAATCTAGCAGAAAGACCTTTAAAGCAAATCAGCCACAATTGTTTGTCATGCTTCAAGGAAAGCAGAGTCCAGGGTCTCCCCATGCCCCACGGGAGGTGAAGATTAGGGACAAGGGCAGTGCAGCACTGGGGACATCTTTAATATCCTCATATGCTGAAAGAGAGGATCCTGTCTTTCTGTGCCCAGTACTCCAGAGATCACTTAAGAGACTCCAGTGGTTTCTGTGTAGGGAATTAGTCAACTCATAGGTCATCTGTGCTGATTGGAAATTAAGGCCAAAGAACACCCAAAGGGCTATGAGAAATTTTGGTACCAGGCTGCTGAAGACATCGGTATGATTCTCCAAGGAACGACATCGGATGTCTGCTTTCCAAAAGGAGGCAAGGGGTTCTGCTCTTTCCTTTAAATGGGGTCACTCAGATCTTTTTTGATACTGATTACTTTTGATTTGAGGTCACAGGATTGGGACCTCATGGGACAAGGAAGATGATGGGTACTTTGTCCCAAAGCAATAGGCAACCTTCAGTCCTGTGGTCCTCTCTGTTTTCTTTTGAAGAATTTATGGAACTGGTCTGTTAACATTCAACCTCATAAGCACATGCTAGATACAGTGCTAAAATAGTAAAAAAAAAAATATAAAAATCTTTCAGTTGGCCTAAGAAGGCCCATTTACTATGTTTTTGTGCTATCTGTTTACAGATGTGTTTTTGCAGTAGTGTACAAGTGTTTAATGGCAACAGCTTGTAAATTTGTATCATCACATGGGTTATGGGTGAACCATTAAAATTCATATAAAGAACATTGAAATATGAAAGCTGCTAGGAAAAGGAAAGGTCTATTAAATATTTACACTAGATTGTGAATCAGCTGCTTTACTGTTAGTTAGAGAATAAATAAAAAACAACATCACTGTTATGACAGTAAGGAAAGAGTTTTACCAGAAATAACCTCCCGCATCAGGGAGGAAGGGGGTGCAAGGAAGCAGCATCTCATGTATATGTTGTAGCAAAGGACCCGATGTGACTCGTCCTAAGGCAGCAAATGCTCTTCCTTGCTCTTAGCAGTAGCTGGGTAGCTGCCTCTAACGTGTATTATACGTGTTGCTGACCCAGCAGATGAGGGTCATGTGCATTGCTATGCACAGTCTGTGTCCAGTCACTAGGCTTGGTTCTTCATGGACTGCTTCCATGTGAGGAGAGCTGCTGTAACTGGTGACGCCACTCTTACCATGGAAAAACATCTGTATCAATCAGAAGTCGGCAAATGGACAAAAAAAACAAAAAGCCTCAATTTCAAGTTTACCTCACATTTGTATCCCTTGTGAATGTCATTTGAGAAATATGATTTGTGTATCCGGAGAGCCCTCGTGTGACACAAGGGTCTCAGATGCTTGCAGAGATGATGTCAGCAGCAATGTGGTCTCTGATTTCAGATCGGCACTGAGTGGGACGCCAAGGAGAGGCTTTTCCGCAACTTTGGAGGACTCCTTGGGCCAACAGATGAGCCAGTTGGCATGCAGAAATGGGGGAAAGGCCCCAACGTCACCGTTACTGTCATTTGGGTGGATCCAGTCAATGTAATAGCAGCAACGTATGATATTCTTATTGAATCCAGTGCTGAATATACTCACTACAAACCACCTTTGAATCTGCCCCTGCGACCTGGTGTCTGGACAATAAAAATTCTGCACCACTGGGTACAGGTAGCTGAAACCAAATTCCTCGTCACTCCTCTCACCTTCTCAAATCGGCAGCCTATCAAACAAGGTAAGTTTTATTATTTGGTAGAGGAATAATACAGTTATTGTGTCTGTATTCACTGTAAATGCTGTTGGTAAAAATGAAGTAGCACTGCATTGGAAACAGGGAAAATAAGGGAATATTATAAATAGTAAATCAGAAGAATTTATTGCACCAAGACAGGCGAAAGTGTCTGTATCCAGTCTGTAAAGCACAGCCACTTTGAACAAAAAGCTATTTATATCTGTAAAATACGCACAGTTCAAAATGCAGAGAAGTTCAGACTCTCAGTAATCATAAAAGCCATCACTTAGAAATAGGAAGAAAAATGGACCTTTCTCTGAAGCTTTGCATTTGCATTTGCTCATAAAGAGTTAAAGATGTTTCAACTGCTATCTTGACAAAGTCTGTGTGTTTAATGATAAACAACTTTAATATACGAAATCCTGGATTAGTCAAAATTACCCTCGGCCGGAGCTACCTGACAGGTTGTCAAGTCCAGGCACTCACTTTTGCCTGATACCTGCCAAAAACTGCTGTGTACATGCCAAACACTTGTGTTACAGAAATACCTATAAATGCAGCAGTCCTGGTAGGTGCAGTATCAGACCCAGGCTTCATTTTTTTGAAAGAAAATGTTTTCTTCCCTGCAGCAGCAGCACTGAGCCATCCTTGGGCTGCCAGCATATGCAGACCGCCAGCCCCTGCGTCATTTGATTGCCTGGCTCTTCAGCCAGTACCAAGCACCTTGGGCTGTGAGAAGAGAGAACATTTTGTAGCCACACCTGTTTTCTTATTCACTAAGATCAAAACAAGTTTGTTGCTAGGAATATCTTTACCCTTCTGCTTAACATGCTCAAGTGCTTCCATCTGTCTAATATTAATATTCATAACTTTAGACATCTTAAAGTTGCTAGATACATGAATGATCCTATTAAGTTTTCAGAAGGTCTTCTTCCTGACAAGGCAGCAAATAAACTGAGTCAGGCATTTACCTTCCAGCATAACGTGCTGCTTCTGTAATGCAAACACCACCAGACAACTGCTGAGAGCTAATGCAGCCCTTATCTTGCTCAACAGGAGTCTGATTCTACACATTTCTCACCAGAACAGCTAACTTACTGATTTCTTCTTCTAACATTTGGTGGCATCATTTCTTAAGCAGAAACTAAACCACGGACAACCTGCTGCTGTTATTAGGTAATAGACAGTGATACATTTTGAAGGAACACCATGTGTAGGAGAAATAAGTTTTTTAAGTTTGAGGCAACCTACTTCTAAGCACAGCTGTTACTGACTTGTCTCCCGTAAATAATGAATTCCATGTTCCTTGTTAATTTAACAGTTAAGGCATAAATTGAATTGAATATGTGGCACACAGCCAGCAACCTTGCTGCTTTCTGATACAATGGGAGAATGCAGTGGAAAGTTGAGTGTGTCTCAGACTTCAACTGGGAGTCCACACTTAATGGTGTAAAGCGAAAAGTGTCTTTGGTCCAAACTCTTGAGTCTCAGATAATTTCGCCGATACTATGGAGCCACTCCATATTGCCACATATAACAAAGAAAAAGTTGGCACATCGGTTGACCAGGAGAAGATCTGGCTCATATTTGTTGTTAAAGAGCCCTATTCATTCACATGGCAATGAGAATCTGCTGTAGGAATGAAATACAGAGCTTGGGAACAATATTATCTAGGGAAAAACCCTCAGCAGTGATTTGCTACTGGTGTTGGGATGCGTAATCTCCATGTATCTGAGGTATGGAGGTAAAGGAGAAAATGAATTACAGGGCAGATAGTGACACTCCCCTCCTGTTAGAATTATATTTACAATGCAAATTTTTGGGTGTTTTGTTTGTTTGTTTTAAGGCTTTCTGTCTGAGTGACACCATTGTGCTCTGTGCTGGCAATTGTCATTTAGCTTTGATTTCCAGCTTTTGTCAGTTTGTCACCACTTTATTACTTAAATAGATTTTTCTCTGCCAAATAAAGGCATTGTGAGAGTATGACAGAAGAATTAGAACTTCTAAAAGAATAATTTCTGTTACTGTTGTAGACAATGTGAAAGCTGACGAAATCTCCTAAAATGAAGGAATAGTATTATTGTCTTGTCCTAACACTGAAAATAAAACACACATCAGACTTAGCTGGGAGCTGTCAGCAGAAGAGAGGAGTATGCTTTAGTAGGGCTTGGTTTAGCATGTTGTTCTCCCCAACATCTTCTTTCACCCCCAAATAATAATAATAATTAAAAAAAGCTGTATAGCTCTTGTTAGAAAGGTCTCCCTTATAGGTAACTTGTTACTCCGGCAGCTTTTTTCATACTACTTTGCTTTATTTGTTTCACCATGATTAGGCCCAGTCTGCCTCATATACACCAGACATAGAAACTGGAGTCCACGTAGTTACATACATAAAAATCTGTCTGTGTTTTGTGCATAATGTGTCATTCTAAAAAATGTTTGCACAGATCTGACAGCTGCCACTAAACTCTTGCATCTGGAGAGCAAGAGCATGACAACTATCACTGTATTTGCTAAACCACTGCATATCTACACGATTTCAGCACAGAGCACAAGGTAAAGTTGCTCGTAATTTCTCAGCATCATGAAGGGAGCAACTTTCTCCTCTGTTAAGTAAACTGAAACGTGTTCATTCCTGTATCATGACTCTTAAATTTCATGATTACAGTTCGAAAAAAAAAAATTAATTCTGGGACAGCTACCAGCAAAGACACTTCATTTAACAGTTAATAAAAACAGCATATGCAGCTAGTTTACTCATTTTCTATTCCCATTTATTTATTAATTTTGGCCTAGAGTCTGTGCATGCAAGTAAAACCAAGGAGGGAAATCAGGGACATTTTTTTTTCTGTGATATTATGTCCAGATGTGCATAACTGACAGAATGTGAATTGTTTAAAAACAGGGACTCGTTGCCCTTTACAAAAGCTATATCTATAAAAGAGAGATCAGTTCTTATATGGTGTTTTTGAGCACACTTGGAGGTTTGGGATGTCTCCACAGTAAGCGAGTCTCCCAAAGCAATTTCAGTGGGAGGTTTGGAGTCCAATATTATTTATTCTTTCTTGCTCCTCTTTCTCTACCAGGCATCCAAACCTGGGCCTGTTTCTCTGAGTTCTGTCAGGAATCAGTTTTGCCTTTCAGCATATCCTTCTGGCTCAAGAGTGCCTTCAAGTGTTTGCTTGGTTGGGGATAATGGAGAAAGAAGGGAAAAAAGAGGGGGTGGAGCACATGAACTATGTGAATTTGCCAGGTAACTCATTTGGAGAAATCAGGTTCAGCTCCATTTGGTCCACCACTGTCTCCTTCCCCCTACGTCCCTCACAGCCAGATTCTCTTTTCTTCTTCTAACTGGCGATTTCGGGGTTTCTCACTGTATGGCTGAGTGTGTTAAAGCCAAGAACCCCGTGCTCACTGTAAGGACATGGGGGAGCTGCCAAGGACCATCAGGGTGCCCCAGGACTGCATCGTGCCAAGACAGAAAGGGAGTGTAACGTGGAGGAGACAGAACAGGGAGAAGATGACTAGAAGATCAGTAGCAGTGACTATACACTGGAACGGGGCTTTCTCACTGCTTTCAGCAGCATGAGTTGAAGAGCAGTTCAGAGGCTCAATGTCCAGGTCCCCTGCACAGGGACTGGAGAGGCAGAATCAAACAACAGGCATAATCCAGGCTGTTTAGCCAGCAGTTCTCAGACTCACCCGAGCTACCAAGTATATTTCAGTTCCCATGAAAGCACAGCAAATTCAGTAGAGGCTGGATCTGCATCTCTATCATCCCCCTTTCCCACTCATTGGTGCTGTGCAAAGCCTGTGCAAAGCGCTCTTGCCGGGTGTGATCACACACAGCTCCTAGGAGCACGGAGAGGTGCAGGGAAAAAGCCAAAGCAATTTCATTTTCACATTTGAGTTTATATTCATGGCAAAGTTTCCACGGTGATCTCCCAGCTGGAGTGATGCTAATGAGTTGTCACGCATTTACTGTATAGTACCTGTTTCATTAAACCCAAATAGGTTACTGTGAGCCAGTGGGCAGATTCACTTCTGGGGCAGATAAAGCCCCAAACCTCAAGCCAATACCAAATGCTGGATTGAAAATAAATAATTAAATGAATAAAAACTTCTTCCTTCAAGTAAAGAGGGCAGGGACAGAGAGCATCCGTTTCTTTCTCCTTCAGAGAGACCTTTCATGTTTGGTTCCTACCATGTTCACGTGCCCCTGATGTGGGGCTTCTGCTCCCTGCTGCCCCACCACAGGGCAAGGAGCCCCAAACCCCAGCTCCTGGTCCAGTGCCCTCCAGCTACAGCTTCCTCTTTCAAAGGCTTGACGGCATTAGCAGACATCCTGTGATGCACACACATCTCAAAAGCCTTTTAACCTAATCCATATTTATGGATCATCTTAATTAAGTATATACTGGGAAACCTTTGTTTTGCCGTTGGTTATTTGCAGTGGCTCAATCAATTCTAATTGCATCTATACAGATTATAAAGTGGGTGGCAACTTGTGTCAGAACTGCTGTGATTTCTTTAAATTAACCAGCTGTAACATGACATGTTCTTGATAAATGTAGTAATAGCAGCAGGCAGGCACGTGGCTGCAGACAGTAGACATGCCCTGGAATCGTCATTTCAAGAAAAACCCTGAAGACAAGGATTTGCTTCGAAATTTAGTTCAGATCCAGTTGACAAGGAGTCGATTAGCTTCACAATGAGCAAATGCAGCACTGTCTTGTTTGCTGCAAGAGAAAACAAACCAAATGTCAATAAAAAAATTACCTCTTTGCCAGAGGGTTTCAACACGATTCAAGTAAAGAAATAAAACTGTATGTTCTGTGTTGCTTTAAAAAAAAACAGGTCTAGCACCTTAATGTGTACTAAGGTAATCACATTTTTCATTCCTTGGCCCACTCTCTGTCTAAACTCATTTGCTTTTTCTGCAAAATGAAGAACAAACCCACACAAAAATGCTGAAATCTCAGCCTGTGCAGCTGACTACAGGCTGTGTGTTCAGTCCAAAGAAGTTATACTAAGTAAAGTTGGTTGAGAAATGAAATGCCCTCCCAGAGTGAAGTGCAAACAAAAATGGGGGACAAAATTACCTTATTTTTTAAAACTGTAATTTAAAGTCTGTAGAGTATGTTTTTCACTGGTATGTCCTCTACCTCAAAGGACTATATGGATGTCTTTGTTATCAAAAAAAAAAAAATCTGGCTTAATGTCTGCAATCCAGTTAATTTTGATTTCGTTGCTGTAACTGTAGAGTTTTCAGTGCATAAAGAAACATCTCATAGTGGTAAGCCTTACAGCTGTTAGTCTTTTTTCATGAGCAAGGACTGACGCTTCAGTGCTTTAAAAACATGTCCGGTAGCTCCAGCCTCCCTTTGTGCAGTATTTCAGGGCATCTCCCCTGTCCCAGCCCAGCAGGTTATAGTCATGATTCTCTCTCTTTTTTTTTTTTTTTTAATCTTTAATACAAAGAGGAATCGCCCGCATCTCCCATAGCTTGGATGAGCAGCATGGGCAGTAAACAAGGATGAGAATTTATTACTTTCTCCTGCAAATTCTTCAACAGAGACTTAGAGGGTTCTGAGTTGAATCCTCAGAATTTCCTGTTGATGCATAGCTCTGTGCTCTGACTGCCGTTAAGCAGCTCCTCTGTAGGACGTGCAGACACCTAACTTTGGGTATTCGCTCTGCTGTGGGGACAGGCAGTCCCCTTCCAGTATTGAGTCAGGGTTTTGTAATTTCTTTCACATCAGGGAAGGACATGGTCTCTGTGTGCAGTGATGGCCCGTAACACACTGAAAAGCACTGTGGTTTGTCCTTTCTAATACTATCCCCAGCTGTATTTCCTTCTCTTATCTGCTGATAATATTTGTTTGTTGTTTTTCAAAAACCTTTCCCTTCATTTCCATGATGCACTTTTGCCGTTGTCTCTGCGGGCACGTCCTTGCAGCACGGCTGGTTCTGGAGCAGAGCACAGTGGTCACTTGGTGGGGCAGCGCAAAGCAGCAGTGTGCTGGGGGAGAAGTCTGGCATGTCTGACAGATACAGCAACAGAGACACGGAGACATTCACGTGTGTTGAAGATGCTGAGGTTATCACCCTTAGTTCTGCAAGAGCAGCCCCCTGATCTTATGCAGCAGGGGCCATAGAGAAAAGATCATCTGCTGCATTGCCAGCACTGAGTCCTACAGCTTCTGCAGGTTTCAGTCCTGATAATCCACAAAGTCCTGAAGCCGAGCAAGTTCCGTTTCATCCCAGTATTTGTCTGGAAAAACATCTCTCTTGTTCCAGGCAGAAAACACATGCACAACAGCCTTTAATTCAACAAGCTCTCTGAATTGCTGATTTCAATCAGATGATCCTGCTAGTAACGCCAACTCTTATTTGTTTGGGGATTTTTACTTATAATGTTCCTATTTAATTAATTTGTTGACAAACAGTCTTCCATATTTAATTACTTCCAAAGGAGGAAATTTAATCATGTGTACTTGCTCTGTTTCTTAAACTGCAATGCTCTGGCAGAGCACACTTCTGACACATGTACATGGAACAAACTCCTTTTGACTAGCAGTTATTCTGGATAAATAATTAAAAAAAAACAAAAACAAAAAACATTTAAAACAAAACTAAAAAAGGTGGGTTTGATGAATGCAGGAACAGTTAAGCAGTGTGTAATGGTGATGGGAATCTGCCGAACTAATTTAATTGGGGATTTGAAGTAACGGACTGGTGCAGTATTTAACATTAAAAACTTTGCAAATGTAACAGCAAAGCTCCAATTAAATGTCCCTTTTCCCTCTAAATAAATGTACTGATTTATTGCCAGTGCCTGGGATACTGTCCTCTGCGTGGAAGAAAGGGCTCAGTGTCAGGCTGCAGTGCAAGCAGCAAGGACATGTGGAAGGAATTGTAGACATGAATATGTAATTCCTGGCCTCTAAACGATATCTGAACCCAGTGGCTTTCCTAGCCTGGAGCGCCCTGAATGGGCCCTTTTTGTGTTTTAGACAGCGTGTGTGTTGGCAGAGCTAAACATATCCTCTGTGCTGCCGGGAGCAAAGATGGTAAAGAGCTCAGCTGAGAACAGAAAGAAATGGTTGAAAATTTACTCCCTAGAGGCACTGAGTGAATATTTTTAGAGGGTCACATTCTGGTTTTATGAGTAGCACCGTAACCTACTCTCAGACCTTGAGAAGTCAGCGTGCCTTAGATGAGGGTGGTCAGGCCCGCAGCATCCAGTTCTCTGAAGGTGTTATCACAGTCTGTCAGTGAGTTCTGCTGCAATGTTACAGATTTGGGATGACAATGTGCTGCATTTTGCTGAGGTAGAAGAGTTACTGTAAGAAAAGCAACTACAATGCAAAGAACCGTGTCATTAGGAAATGGTCTCGATCCATTATTCAGTGCAATAGCTGGAAATACGATTGTCATTAGAGAGCACTTTCCCACTGAGATTGGAGCACTTCCAGGAATGATGCTGGAGTTACACAGGTTTCATCAGCCACGTCTGGTCTGCCGAGGCGGTGTTGTTGTCCTTCCAGTGCCAGGAGTGGTACCACACGGGTTTTGGAGGCAGATAGAGCTCATAAATGTTGTGACTTCTACAGCAGAGGAAGAGGAATCAGTCGAGAAAAAATAGGCCAAGATCTCAGCTCTTTCTTCCAGACAAATCATTGATAGTACTTGAAGGTCTGTCTGCGGTTGGCAACCTTCTCCTTCCAGGTCTCTTTGAACCAGTCCCTCATTTCATTTCAGTGTGGTCATCCATGGGCATCTGCAGAGGTAACTTCAGCTGAGCAGGGCATAGCTCCCGGGCTTCCTCTGTGGTGAAAGAAGCAAAACTAGCTTTTCCTGAGTGAAAAATGAGTTTCTTACAGGGAGCTGTGCATTGCTCAAGCTCCAGGTATGGACAGGAGCTTGTAGCGAGTGCCCTGCTGGGAAGCCCACGGGGCCGGGCCTGCCTTTCTGTTGTGCTGAACCCTTAAATCCTAAAGATTTTCTTTAACACACTGATTTTTGGGCTTATTTCTGCTTTTTCCAGAGGAAGCCTTGAAGTATCACAGCGGGCCTCCAAAGAATGCGTACATGGAGCAGAGCTTCCAGGGCTTGAACCCCGTCTTAAACATCCCCATCAGCGCTGCCCGCGTGGACCAGGCCAAAAGGAACGCGGCGCTGGTGGGCGCCCGGCTGGAGGCCTGGGTGGACTCGCTGGTGGGCAGCGTCTGGTCGGCCGTGGACATCTGTAGCACCGGCCCCACCGCCTGCCCCGTCATGCAGGCCTGCACCCAGACGGCGTGGAGCTCCCTGAGTCCGGACCCCAAATCAGAGCTGGGCCCCGTCAAACCCGACGGGCGCTTGAGGTAGCAGCCGGTACGCCCTCCTGCGGCATAGGGTTTTAAAAGGGAATTTAACCTTGCTTCGTACGTCAATCTCACACCAGGTTTCAACTAAGGGAACATTATACTTTTTTTTGTTACATATTGCAATATAGTTCTTAAAAAAATAATAATAATTCCGACAAGGCCTTTGGCACTGCTCTCTCCATCAGCTCTATCAGGAACGGCTTGGTTCGCCTCTGCTGTCCCGCCGGCCCCGGCCGTACGGGCCTTGAAGCAGTAGCAGCCATGGAGAGGGCAGTGAAGGAGCAGCTGCTGGAAGTGTTGTTTTTTTAAAATAAATTTGTCTGTACCTCTGCTGTTTCATAGGCTTTAATTATTTTGCTACCATGAATAAATCACAGCAAAATTCCCTTCTATTTATGCTTCCTGGGGAGGTTGGTTACTGCAGGCTATATCCCATATGGCCGCATTACTTTACAGAACATGAAATAATTAAGGTACACCCTCATTATTTTTTGTTATATATAACACAAAGCAATTCTGGACTCAGCTAATGTCTGTTGTCATCCTAGTTAGGGAATGCAAGCTGAAGCAGAGACATTCAGATTACAGTCAGAGATTTTTCAGACTAATTTTATGCTGAACTCTAAATGGAACTGGTGTTTTGCAATGTTAGTCTTTCATTTCTCATGCGGTCAGGTTCAGGGTCTGGGTAGTAGCAGTATTATTTTAAAAGCCCAAGGAGCATTTTGGATTTCAGCCCTTTGAAATCCACAGGGTCTTTCTAAGCCCACCAGCACCTATGCATATTGCAGACTTCCTGCACTGCAAGTGTGTGTGTAAATTTGGGTAGGTTGGGCTGTGTCTGCTCACGCGTTTGCTGATGAGCCGAGCTGTTTTTTCTCAGGCAGCAGAGTTGCTCAGAACCAGTAAAATGGTGGCATTTGGCCTTTGTAGTTTAGAGATGGCAATTATTTTTATCAGTGGGAACAAGACTGGGACCTGAATCTGCAGCAACACATTTCTTCCCTATAATTGAGTAGTGGCTAATAAGTTTTAACACTAATTTCCTGCCTTGATCTCAGCTCTGCCAGCTCTTCATGAAGAAGAGTATTTTTAGGCTTGTCAGGAAACCTTGAAGGCTGTGCAGGAAGGACATCAGGGTTCCTGACCAAAGCTGGACACGAAAGAGCAACACCATGTTTCTCAGTGCTTTTGCTTTATTCTCTCAACAAACTCTACTCTTGTCTGTTTTCAGAGTTCCTAGCAGGCTGCACCCTGTTTGAAATAGGCTTGTGTTGCATCATTTTAAGCTGCATTTTCTACAGTAGGAAAAAAATGTATTTACATTCCAAAAACTTTTTTTAAACATAGGTTTTATGTGCAAATTCATCTCCAACTGATGCGTTTTGCATTTGCATAAAACATGCACTTTGTTTCTGTTGCTGTGGTAATCTCTTGACCCAGAAAGGTTATTAGAAGCTATTGGGTTCACTAGGAAAAAAAATCCTGTTGATTTAATAAAGCCAGGTATCTGTTTACCCTTCTGTGGGCATGTCTTTCATTCCCACTGATGAGAGTTAAGCTTCCACATCAGGAGGGAAATAGACGCTTAAATCATTCCGTAATCGCATCACACAGAAAGGTTGAATTCCCTTTTAAACAACACTTGCAAGATGACCGTGACACAGAGATCCCAGCGGCTTGTTCTGTCTCTCTCCGTAGTATTGGTTTAAAGCTACTTGCAGTTTGCTTTGGACTTGAAATTGCAGTGTCAGCTGTGCTGGCATTAAGGCAGAGCATTGAAATGTTTATCTGGCATGAAAATGGATGCATAGAAGGAACAATTTAGGTATTTATTATTTATGTTTTAGTCAATGACTAATTAGTAGGTGCTGCTTTTGCAGCTTGAAGATTATGTTATCTTACTAACTGAAGCTGCCTTTATTAAGAAAAGGCCTTCCTCCCCTCACACTTCCCTTTCTTTTTTCCTTCTTGATCTTGACAGTCATGAGAGCTGTAGTTTTAGGAAAGCTTGTAGCAATGAGAGCTGGTTGAAATATTTCAGTCAAAATAATGTTCCTGCTTTTCAACTGGCTCTGGAGGCCAGTGTGTTTAAAACCAGGGTTGCCAACAGGTTTATGTAATAGAAATACAGTGTCATTACTTACTCAGTAGGGTTTTTTTTTGTCGTTCTGTTTGTTTTGTTTTTTTAACAGTGCTGATTGTGAATCTAACATTCCTTCATGAAGTGCAGATTTTCTGGGGAGTTCCAGTCCTCATTATGAAATCCAGGGCTTTAGTCACATTGATGCAATGGCAAGTGCACCATTAAAGCCCTGCGGATCAAATGGAGAACATCATATTTAGGGCACACAATACAATTTCTTTAACAATCCTAGTCAATGATTGTTCTCAATGAGACTGCTGGGGTAGTCGCAAAATCTTCAGTCTGTCTTGCACATAGGCATATGTATAAGGGTGCGCCCACACAACACATGCAGATAACTTGATTTTTAAATTTGATACCCTTTTATTCTTTAACAGGAATGTTTTAAGTGCTTTGTTGGTAAATTCTCGTTATTAACTAGATGAAGCAGAAGGTGACAGCAATCCAGTCTTTTGTGGCTAGAAGAAAATCTGCCACTTACGCGACTTAAATGTAAGGCACAAATTATTTTGTTTTAGTTCAGAAAAGGAAAAGAAATCAAATGGTTGCTGATGCATCTATTTACACTATATGTTAGGTTTAAAATGTATAATTTTTTTTTTAATATTACTTTGTTTTCTGAAAGACAAAAAGCATCTACACAAAGAAGTTTTGTAGCAAGCTGGTACTCACAGCACTAGCTGTAGAACTGCAGAGGCTGGTCCTACAGCCCTTTCTCAGGCAAAATTTCCATGGAGCGCTGATTCTGAGTGAGGACTTCAGGGTCAAGTCCAACATAAATAAAAGGGGTGACAGTATCCTGTGAATAACTACTACATGTGTTTGAAATCATCAGAGGATGAGCTGCCATGTTTGGAACATCTTCTGAGCTGAGTGTCAGGTTTTGGCCGTAAATGACAAATTCTGCTATAGCTGTTAGTGTGCAGCCACAGACACATATGTCCTATAGGGACACTGTGTCTGAGTTGCAAAGTGCTGTAATTGTGCAGTAAAACCCACGGAAAGCCAGGCTTTCCATCAGGAATCAGAGCTTGCTCCAAGCTGTGGCTGTGGCAGTGCTGCTAAGAACGACGCTCTGCTAAGTGGCTTTTCTGGTTCTGAAATGGCAGGCACTTGGAGCCTGTGATGAATATTATATATTGTTAGAAGAGAATAACTTCACAGATCTTACATTTGGTGAAAAGGAGAATTCAGGGCAGGGACCACAGTTCGTACAAAACAAGCAAGTTATGCATCTTCATTTGAATGTGCTAGTGTTATTTTCCAATCACACTGGCTAGTCCTTGCTGAATAGGACTCCAACTGAAAGCCAGCTTTGATCAGAATCCCTTTCTGTGGCAAAGGGGTGTACTTCCATATGCACGCATTTGTCCTCTGTGTATAATGCTTTTGCTCATTTAAATTCTGTGCCCATTCTGTGCGATAGCCATGTAACACTTCTGTGATCAATCAGTATTACACAGAAAGGAAATGTGGCAAGATGTAGAACATCTACATATGTGATTTAATAAATTACATCCAAAGTCAGTCTTAGTGATATGCAGACCTGTTTATATGGTAATGTTAAGCCTTGAGGCTAATAGAAATAGCTCAAATGACAGTTTATTTTTAAGTGTGTCCAACTCTTTGATGACATTTGGACACTGAGTAGTCATATTTATATTTTCATTTTCTGATATTCAAATTTCTAGAATTAAAATTATGCCTTCATTTTTTGTGCTCTCAGCAAGCAGAGAATTTTAAGAATCCCTCCATGATGGCAAGTATTACACAAGGAAGTCCATCTGTGTCTCTGTTGCTAAGCCTTCATTATCACTAAGCCTAGAGATGCAGGAATGTGCATTTGTGTGCTACAAATTGACTTTAGCTTCCTAGGTATCAGCTTTAATGCACAATGCATGTACAGTTGTTTAACAGCAAATTAACAACGATCCTGCAGCACCTTCAGAAGGACCAACTAACGTGTATTCACCCTCTGTCCATCTGCAGAGCTAACTGCAATACTAATGAAGCCTCAGTCTCTCTTAGCTACTTTTACAGTGACCAGTGCAGTGAAGTCAGTGAATCAGAACTGGAATTTTCTAAACCTGACTGAAGGGAGAGACACAGAACCATAGAATGGCTTGGGTTGGAAGGGACTTGAAAGATCATCTAATTCCAGCCCCCTTGCCATGGGCAGGAACACCTTCCGCTAGATCAGCTTGTTCAAAGCCCCATCCAACCTGGCCTTGAACACTTCCAGGAATGGGGCATCCACAGCTTCTCTGGGCAGGGTATAGATGAAGAGATGCTAAAACTTTGCAAAAGTTTCATAAAACCATGCTGCAACAATATTTGAACAAACTGGGCAACTCTTCTGTACAGCAAGACTGAGAAATGCTGATACCGTGAGATCTTAGTTTTGACTTCCCAGATAAAAATAAAACCAAATCCAGATTTTAATTGTGGCCAGACAATGAGGACCAACTTCTGTTGATTTCTGTAGTTCTCATCACAGCTGTCAGAGAACTGCCAGCTTGCTGCTGGCTATCACACCCTCCTTGTTGCTTTCCCAGATCCCAAGGCTTCGGGAGTTGGCTAAATTATACCTTGGCTGACTTCTTTGCTTTCCATTGGGCAGGAAGTTTTGTATTCATGTGAGCCAAATCCCTTAGGCTTCTTCAAAACCCCAAGCTGTAAATTGGAAAAGTTTGCTTTTCAGAGCAGCCTTCAGCCAGCTCAGTACTAACATACATGAAGGTGGCTGTAAAAGTGACAGCGGTTATCTCTTCCTGACTCTTCAGGCACAGATATTCAATATGTGTAACAGTAGGTCTGGTTAGTTCAGCAGCAGAGCAAGACTGACCTGGTAGAATGTGGTTAGCAGCATTTCCCGTTGTCCTTAGCTTCAGTCTGGTAGCGAGAAGGTAATGATCTCTATGTGCTTTCTTTTCAACCATCCATGGCCTCCAAGTTAGTCTTAGGGATTTGTAGCACATCGCCTTAAACTTAAACATCGCCTGTCAATGACAACTGAAAACATAACAGAGTCCTCCCAGACCAAACCCTCCAGCTTCTGCCAAGACAGCTCCAGGGCTGCCGTCCATGGGCAGGGTACAAGCAGGTGTTGGAGGGACAGGACACTGCCCGTGCTGGGGGACCGGGGGGGCTGCTGAGAACAGGGGGACTGGCCTACAGAGGTCCCCGCAGAGGGCAGGCGCTGCTGCAGCAGGCACAGAGGAGCCAAACAAATGTGAAAGAGGGTTAAGAGCAGCCAGGATGCTGTAGACAGTATCACAGAATCATAGAATATGTGGCATATAGATCCGCAGCAAGTGTGGGAAGGATTTTGTAGGGAAATGCCTTTCTTCCTCTAGGCTATTCAAGGGCAAGTGTTCAGATTGGTAACTGGCCTTTGAAAGCCTTCACCACCACCACCAATGTAAGAAAAAGGACAATCAGGCTGAGAGCATTTAAAATTGAGGCAGTGAGGTCTCGCAGCCCATGTCACCCAGGACAACAGCAGCATTAGGCTTTTTGCAGTTGAGCGTGTTGTTGGCAGCAATTAACCCTCGTGATGTGAGACTGCAGGTACCATGTTGATTTTGCTCCTTTATACTAACGACAGTGTATAGATCACTCTCCTCTCTTTGCTTCTGCCTTGGTTACCTTCTTTTGCTCATGGGTGCTATCACAGCTGCTACCTCACTGTGTCTGCAAACAAGTTTACCTGATAACAACAAAAAAAGGTACCAGAAATCTCCTTGAACTGAATGTACAATCTATGCAAATTCTCTTTCTACTTTGTTAAAACCTAGAAGTATTACATGTAACCTTGCCAAATAAACAGCAAGATACTGTACAGGTGCCTCTGATAACAGAGTGACAATTCTAGGCGCGGTTCATTGCGCTGCATTTGTATATTGTAATGACTTTGCTTGTCTTTGGTTCTGTTGTAATTAACACCCTCGACTGAAACAATAGTAATCTATTGCTAGGGGAGCACCTTCAGTTTGCTGGGAATATTCTGGAGGAGGATGTCCGTGGCATTGAATTTTATTTTCTAGCTTATATCCAAAAGAAGGCACAGACCTACTGGCCAAAATTGGGATGGTGTTCCAGATTTTTGTTAGGTAAAGCCTACTGGCTTTGAAGTGTCTGTTCCCATTGTGGCATCCAGTGTGTTGCCCCTTACAGAAGCCTTACTTTCATCCTTCCTAAATGTGGCCTTAAACCGTGTTAGAAAGTTAGGTGTTGTCTGTGTCTTGCTCACTCTTTCTGTTTGCTGTGGAAGGAATAAAAGGCACCTTGAGATTTCTATTACAGCTCAGTTGTGTTGCTGTCAGCTTACACTTCACAAATACAATAGAAATTGCTTACAAACGCAGTCTTTAAGGGAAGAAAATGACCTTCCCTTTGGGCAAAAGGAAGGCTCAGACATTCATATAAACCTTAGGAAATTATGAGCTCTGTCTTTTGCAACTTATTGTAGATAAGGAAGGTGGATTTAATTACCTACAAAGTGCAAACTTAATAGCTTTTTATTTATCTTCAGACTGTAACAGGACAGACTGCTCTCAGATGCACAAGACAATTTCTGGAGTAATTTCACTCATTTTGACATGAGATAGTAGCATGCCTTTCAGAGTCATACTGGTAACTGGGAGAAGCTGTATTCTCTTTAATTGTTTGGTCTTAAAATCTGAAGAACATCACCACTTGGGGCCAGATTTTGAGTGATGGTTGGGAATCTAACAGAACACATAGAAGGCAGAGGAGTCTGGCTGTATCACCAGTCATAAATTCACTTCCAAACATCTGGCCTTTGGAGCCATGTCCAAAGGTCGTCAAAGTCAGCAGAAACCAAGGCCTTCTGCTAAGGCTTGGATGTGTTGGTTTCTTTAATGCTTTTTCTCCATGGAGAACTCTCATGTTTCAGTAGCACCAATATTCCCGGCAGGCTGCAGTGCTTTAGGAATCCCAAATCCTACCCTGTTCCAGTGTTCTGATGCATATACAACCCAAAGGCAACTGAGAAGGGTTTACACAACAAAGAAGATTTGTGAAACAAAAAGTATTAATTCGAGTTAATGAAATGATTTTTCTGACTTTGTTATTTTGGTTTTGGTTGATTGGATTTTTGTATTGCCTAACATAATCCATAATAAGTTATTCCTATTCTGTCATTTTCAAAGACTGGTGGTAATATAGTTTTAAGAAATAACTATTTTGTTATAGATCATAATATGCATAAAACTGTACAGAAATATTTTGTAAGCTATTGAATAAGAAAAAAAAACACATGTATATACAGCAAAGTTTAAAAAAAATTGGAAATTCAAATGGAACACACTGAAAGATGTAGATATTTTGCTATTTATTTAACGGAGTATTTTATGAGATATTGAAATGTCTTAAATTGACCGGTAATCAAAGTTCAAAGTCAGAATGCTTTTCTTGTAGTAGAATGTGATTTTCAGCAATTATTGCACTACCCCTTTTTGCACCCTTTTGTCTTTCATTTAGCAGAAAACAATGTGCCTTAGCTGTATTCTTTGTCAATGGGAGTTTGTTTTTTTGTCCAATAAAGCAATTTTTTTTTTTTTTGCAGAAAATGAAATGGATGTATTAAATACTGTATTATACCAAAAACACTGCAGTTGTACATAAATGCTTTCTGTCATACTGTGTTTTCAGATGCAGAATTTTAAAATAATAAAAAAAAAAGCTGTCTTTAGGAATGGATGTGCGCACTGTGTTATTTTTAAACCCACTAATGGAAGTCTTTATTTAAAAGAACTTTGCTATTTGATGTTCTTTAGGAGTAAAAATGGAACAAAGCACTACTGAGCTGTGATGCCAATGCTGATATTGTTATGCTTCTCAATAAGTCATTTCTCGGGCCTCATTTCCCAGCCATAGTAATTATGGAGGAAACTTTCACAGGTGCTTTTTGGAAATCAATTTTTGTTGGTCAAGCTGATGGCTTGCACGTGCCACGGGACTAATGTCACCATCAGGAGCGGCGTCAGGAGGCAGGGGCTGGGCACCACAGAGCTCCCAGCACCACTGACACCATGGGGTTGAGACATGCAATCTTTTTAAGCCAAGTTCTCCTTTTTTTCAATCTCAAATGACTCCTATAGGCAGAGGGGCAGAAAGGATTAACAAGGAGCCTGCCTTAAGTCTGTTTTCTAAAAGTCACCATCTACGAGGCACATTGGAGCAGTTTGTTCCATGCATCCCCAAAGTGTTCATCATGCCAAAAGATGAAGGATCTGGCAATGGACATAGGAATAGGCAGCTGGGTGCAGGAACACAACCTAATGTTAGAGCTCCCTGCTTTTAAGGACAGCAAAATAAATGCCCTTTGCCACTACTGCGAGGATGAGCTCAGAAAGACCGATTTCTTGCCTAGTTCTCCTAAGCTGGCTTAAGACCCAAACTAGCCATTGCCTAATGTTCACCCGGATGAACACTTAAATTTATTTTCTTACCCACAGGCTCCACTCTGATCACAGTTTTTTTTTAAGAGCTGCTTTCCATAGATGTGCTGCGGAAAACCAGTTAGATTTTCTTATAAGGGTGATGGGTCTCTTTAGCATGGTCCTCATGATGTGTTGCAAGTTTGTCTCCTAGTACTGCTTTTTGATGTGGGATGCCTGAAAAAAAAAAATCCTTGATGACCTTCCAAAAGTCTCTGACACCATCAGGAGTCTGCGTGACTTCTTCATGCACCCCCAAGCAGTGCTGCAGGTTCTCTTGGCAGCCAGCGCTGCTTTTGATCTTGTTTTTTCTTTTCACCTGCTGTTCAGGAATTCCACTTTTTTGGCACTTAGATGCAATGAAAGAGGTCTGTTTAAACAGAGGAGGGAACACAGTGCTAATATTTTAGTCCTGGTACAAAGAAAAGATTTTTCTGCAGAGGGGAAAAAGAAAAGAAAAAAAGAAGACTGCTCTCAGCACTGAAGCCTGGTTTTATTTATAGATGGGCTAAGTATGCTGCTTTTTTTTTTCCTGGCTCATTCCTCATCCAGCTGCTAATGTTCTTGGCATATTAAAAAAATAAAAAGCTCAACTTTTGTTTTAATTGTCTCCAAATGTGTCATTGGCCTGAATTAAAAAAAAAAAAAAAAAAAAAGCTACCAGGTGTTCAAGTGTTTTGCTGTCTTTGTGGACTTCAGCTAGGATCTGAACGCTCTTTGAGGGTACACACAAAAATCCCAGAAAGCATCACGGAAAGGGCTGTCACAACGTCATGGTAACAGAGACGTGGCATGAAAGGATACGTCTCTGTCTCATTGAGATAGTGTCATCACATTTTTTGCATCTGCCATGCCTAATCTTTCTTGATCATAATTAATATTTATATAGAGTAGAGCATGCTTAATTCACAATAATGGCTCAGAATGCACTGCAGAGCAGTTTGCCAATAGGAAAGCACAGTAAACCACATGCAACAGCGATTGCCTTGACAATAGGGCTTTCACTCCAGTGCCAGGATTTTTGACTTTTTTTCATCCATTACTAAAGAAAATGTAGCCTGTTTTCTAAAAAAAAAAAAAAAAAAAAAGAGCGAACAGTGATCCAGTGATCTGAGGCTTCACAAACACAAGCTGCTGCATTTCTTTGCAGTCTATAAATGATTAAAAAGTGGGAGCTTCATGAGTTTCAACGATATTAAAAAAAAAAACACAGACACAAGACACACAAGAAATTGTTAATTGCTTTATGAAGGTTGAGCTTGGTCGCTGTGGTGCCAAATCAGTCCTTGGGCATGGTTTATGCCTTCACCTGGCAGCCTAGGGTTGTTCTGGGCAGCCCTCAATCAAAGTGGTTGCATGCCAGATTCCCAGTGTCATGCTCACAGTCTCAGGCTTATTTATTAGGCTTATTTAGTAGCAATTAACATGATCCAGAAATGTGTTGCTTTTTTTAATTATTTTTTCAACGTATTGCCTGGTCTCTGGAGCACGGTTACGGGGGTTTAACACAAAGCACCTGCCCTGCAGCAGTGTGTTACCTGGGTCGACTGGGAAGGCGCAGCTGGTGGGGTCTTCACTGTCTCTTGGGTTACAAGCCTCTCCCACCCACACCAAGAAGCAGCTCTGCACCTCCCAGCCACCACTCGTACCTTCAGTAATACTTACCACAAGGAGAACACCTAGGTTGGCTTCAGTCCCTGAGGGTCTGGATGTTGGGAATTTGCTGCTTTGCTGCCCAGCACTATGTGAGCCACTTGCAGGGCTGCTTTTATTGCCTCTGCCACTGAGTCCTCCTCCAGCTGGTAGCACGGCCGTGATGGAGCAGCCCCTTCCCCAGGCATTTGGGTATCGCACCATGCAGAGCCTTCAGGCAGGAGCAGTATTTCATTCATGTATAAATGAGTTAAGTAATTTACTCCTTTTCGTCTGCTGCTGTAATTTTTTTCCTAAATAGAATGTGCATAATAATAAAAGAGATTTCACTAGAAACATAAAGTACATTTTAATGTGATCTCATTTATGAAAGTCTATCACTGGGTACATATGGCCAGGAAATGAAAGTATTCTTATAACAGATTAATAGCCAAGATCAAATATTTCACTTTCTAATAAAACCCGCCTATATGTGCTTTTAATTCCTCGCTACATTTAAATTTAAAAGGGCTTTTTTTGTGCATTGAAAGCAAGCCCCTGCCTGCCATGCCATCCCTGGTTTCCCATTACTGCTCACTGATGGCTTGCTTTCATCAGCAGACAACAACTCCATCCCTATCTCTCAGAAGAAGAAATACCTCTTTGCCTTCAGGAAAAGTAAAAAAGAGACAGGGGAAGAAGCAGGAAGACACCAGGACCTGTCCTATCACAGCAGCGCGATGCAGCTGTGCCTGGCCCTGGCTTTGCTGCTGCAGCCTCCATGCACATGTAGGAGTTTGCTGCCAGCCAAGGCACCTTCAATCTCCTGCAGTACCACGTCACAAAAAAAAAGTCATGCTCTGAAATGCCATTCCATAAGACAGCCTGTTTAAAAGAATGCTTTTTTTTTTAATGTTTTGTGTTTTTTTCCCCAAAAAATGCCCTTTTTGAAGCTTTTTGTTCTGATTTAGTCCTTTTCTTTGCAGAGCCCACACATCCTTAAGCACTGTCCCCTCCCATCCCTCTCGGGGTGCCAGCACTCGGCTGCTCTCTGAGTCTGAGCTGCATCATGGTCCTTCCCCCTTACGTGGAGAAGTGCCGAATTAATTTGCTCAATCAATTAATTAGCATAAATTACACTGGTTTCTATACGAGAAGTCAGGAAATAGTAACACAAATGTAATACTCTCTATTTAATTAAGCATGCCATAGAGTGTGTGCGCATCAGTACCAAAAGGAACTTAGTGCCGTGCAGGCAGTGAATGAAACAACACTGATTTCTACCAGCTGCCTCTTGATTCAGCCTCAAAAGCAAAAAGCCTTTTTTTTCCCCCTCTCCTTTTTTTTTTTTCTTTTTTCCTTGCTTTCAACTGGCCTTGAAGATGTTATAAAACAAACCAAGACATCCCAGCGGGAGCCTAGCACAGCAGCAACGCCACGGCTTTATTTTTAGTGCCGCTCTCCGGCTGGCGCACGGCGGCTCGTGCACGATGTACGTCACGCAGGGCTGGAGGAATGTGACGGTGGCACTGCCGCAACTCAGCCCTGAATCCCCGACCCCGCCATCCTCCTGCCGGCTACAGGCAGACTGTGAGGCTGCCTGCACCAGGGCAAGGCAGCAGGACACGTGCTCCTGAGCTCCCAGAGGGTGTTTTTTTTTTTTTCAGGAGAACCCCTTAAAACACTGATGTTTGGAGCGCTGCCTGCCTCGCTCTGCTCCATGTCAGTGCATCTGACCCCTGGGCATGGAAAATGAGAAGTGATGGTCTGTTGGACACACGTAGCACTGTGTTTACCCCGAAAATGGGAGCGGCTGCAGTGCTCAGCCAGGAGCCGGCCTCACTGCCAGGAACCTTGCAGCCCCCACGGACCTTCCCTGCGCACCAGCACAGCACGGGGCTGCTCAGTTACAACAGGATGGGCTGAGAAAGGGTGAGACAGCGATTTATTCTGCAGCTCTTCCATTTTGGTACCTGAGCATCCCAGTGCACAGATGTGAAACACAGCACTGCAAGCCTGATGTGGGCTGTGCAAGTAACTAACCTCAGAACACAAGCAAGTCACACAGAGAAAACTTGTAGGACTTGAGAATTTCTTTTTCTCTGTTCCAGTCTGGGTAGAAGCTGTGACAAATGGCGACTGAAGCTCGCACACCACAGGCTGCTTGCTGTCTGTTTGCCTGATGTTTCAGCTCAGCTGCAGCCCACCCTCTTCTTCCTTTGCGCACTCTAATTTAGGACTTTTGGTGTTTTGAGCTGAATCAACAATAAAAATAATGTTTATTTAAAATATAGTGAAATAAGCCCCAAAACTGTTGTGAAAAGAGCAAATGAAGCTGTCCCTTTTCCATATATATTACATTGCAGTGCAGTTTGTATCCCCTGCCAATAAGAACAGAACATTTGCTGGGTGGCTCTGCAGAAACCTGAGCACTGTCCAGCAGCTATTCCACGGAAAACCACAATTATTAAAAAAAAATAAAAAAAAAAGGCAAAAAAAAAAAAAAGTGCATCACTCTATGCTCTGCTGGCCCTTTTGTTGCATTTCTGACTGATTTTAATATTTACGAGCAACAGCCCTCTTTGCAGGTGTTTTTTTACCCACAGGCAGCCCTGTACATTCCCCTACCAGCAGTTACAGCGTGTCACACCACACGGTGACTCCTGCCGAAGCCCCGACTGGAGCACCACAGCTTGGCCCTGCAGCACCCCCTGCCTCTGGCTCACCTCCAGACTTAGGCCTTCACACCCACATCGGGTTAAAAAAAACTCTTTTTTTGGCTGATTGATACAAATCCTCTAAAACTTTGGGTTTTAAAAACTGTGAAGGGAAGGGAAGCATCAAGCATTAAGGCTTGATGGTTGTCTCAGCAGAAATGACTCTACAGAGCATCAGCTACTCCATGGCAAGATGTAATCTCACGACTCTCCCATGTGTGACCAACTGCTCTTGGCCCATTCCCTGATCTTTTCCCCTAATCAGAGTGGGGGGAAATCTCTATTTTCTAATTGAGAGAGTACTCTGCTGAGTAAAGGCAGGTTTTTCGATTCATATCTTGCCTTTCATAAAATGACTGCCTGAAGGAAGACCAAGTGCCAGTAAAAATGAAGCGTACCATGTTGCATCTCCCTGTTTCTTCAGAGGTAACAAAATGCTCTTTACTATAAAAGCCATTTTCATTATCTGAGCTTTCATCTAATATTAATGGCCCGCCCTGGAGAACTGTGAGTGTGGCTGAACTGAAGCCCCGAGCTCAGACATTCATGCACGTGCAGAGCCTTCCTGGTGCCACCCCACGTGGTTACCAGGTCTTCTTGTGTGGGGCTGACGTTTTAAGGCCCAGGCACTGAGCACTGAAACACGTCTCATCTGTCGCTTAAATAGGTGTCGGGCTTGTTTCTTTATAGGCAGGTCCCTCTAATTTGGATCTGAACTTTAAGATTTAGGTGAGGGGACACAGGTGAAAGGTTTTGCAGTCCCAACCAGTTGCAGGTCACTGTCCGGAGCCCCCCAGCTGCTCTCTGATTTCCAGCGATGCTCAGTGCTGCGTTTAAATGCCGACAACTGTGCAATTTAACAAACATCTTGCAAGTGCAAGCTGGTGTAGCGGTTCCCTCATGCACAACGTGTACTACAGCACTGCATCTTCCCTGCTGTCCCCGCAGGCACCAGCGCTCATTTAGCTGGGTATAAAGGAGACATCACCAAACTGACTTTACTTACGAGGCCACTGAAAGGTGATGTGTGGGTTTACACACAGCCGTTTCACCAGGTTTGTCGGTCCCTCCTTCTGGTCTTGCACTGGAGCCCCATTGCTCTGCTAACACCCCAGGAGCTTTCTCAAGGCCCTTAATTTAAGGACCTGGGGGTGTCAAGCCCACAGCTCTCCTTGCCACCTGTCAGTGGCTGACCTGCAGCTTGCAGAGGTTGGACCAGATGGTTTTGGAGGTCTCTTCCAACCTAGATGATTCCGTGACTCTGTGATTGCAGAGCAGTTCATCCTTTCTCATTTGCTCCAAGAGCTGCAACAGCCCTGCTGCCTCTGCTGGCTTCAGCCTGTTACACAAATACTGAAGATCCAATTAGGTAGCCCAAGCACCTGGCGTATTTTGTGTTTCTTTTCCCCACAATGGCTGTTGTTAGCACAGTGCAGCCAGCAGCTGCCCTCCCACAGCTCCTTTCCTGGGCATTTTGTACGGACAGGAGGCTCCCCTCCTGTCCCTTGAGATTTGCATGGTGTGTTGGGTCCAACGGAAGACTCTGGCATAAAAACACACCTAATAAGAAATAAACGACTGCTTTGCTAAGGAATTCTTATAGTCAACTAATCAGCTCCTCAGGAGATTGCAGTTGTGCTATCCCAGACCCTCTTTGCAGTTTCAGTCCCCAAAATGCTTACAGAACACTGGTGGCTCCCAGGCACGGCACGACAGGGGAGGGAAACCCACTGCTCTGCAGCAGGCTCCTGCTCGGCTGCACCTCCTCCAGAGGGGTCACTGAGAACAGAGATGTTTGTGCTGGGCATGGGCTCTAAAGAGGCTTTGGTCCTGTACTGAAAGAAGAAAGGGGCAGCTCATTTCTGCTTGAACACCACCCACAGCTCCTGTCAGTGAGCACTACGTGCTCAGGGCTGGGATGCAGCGAGCTGTGTCTCACAGTGGTGATGACGGAGGGCACCAGCAAGCAGCTCTGGTCCCATTGAGGAAGTGTGGCTGTGGAGCCAAGGAGAAATCAGCGATTTGTAACCCTCAGCATCTGAGCAGGCCCGGCTGACCCCACCTCCACAGGTCAGCGGTGCTGCGTCTCCTGGGCTTTCCACGACATGAAGCAGAGGTCCAGGAGCCTCCCCAAACCTCATGGCACACAGAGAAATAATCTATTTCGTGTCAGATTAAAAATGGGCTCCTCTTCCAGGCTCATTCCCCGCCTTCTGCATCACTCCCCGCCTGTTTTCATAAGGCACAGGGGCTATTTTTAAAAGTCGATGTGGTTTTATTAGTGATGAGGCCATAAACAAACACCCTGAACTCGCTGGTTCCCTGTGGGAAGAGCTTTGGTTCAGAACCTTTCCATTTATGGGCAGAGCCAAAAGTAAATTCCCAAAGAGAAATGACATCTTTTACTTTTTTTTTTCTTTTCCAGTAGCCACAGGGTTGGTTCCTGCTGGGGTGGGAGAATACAAGAGTTCCCAAAGACATGCCTCCTTGGAGCCCTGCTCTGTCCCAGGGCTCAGCCTCTTCTACGCACACACCAGGACTCCTGTACCCAGCATAAATCTGGCTTTTCCAAGCCCTGCATGGTCCTGAAAGCAACCAAACAGCCCCCTGAGGTCAGCAGTGTCCCTAAGGCCAACAAAAAGCCTTTTGGGGGCTGCACAGAGCAGGAAGTTTTTTTATTTTTTTTTCATGCGTTGCTGGTTGTGGTTATTTTTGTCCCCAAAAATCAAACCTCAGGAGAGAACGTCTGCTGCCACGCCTAACCCTGCCAGTCACCCCTGACCACTGCAGAGCCTCTGTAGGCTGATGTGTCTGTAGAAAAACAGCACCAAATCCATATATCTAATGTTTTTCTTATTACAAAAATATTTTTGTCTGGAGGGAGAGGCACAAAAAGGAGTCCAATGTATTTTAATTCTTTCACTTTTGAATAAAAGGCATGAAAGAGACTCCAAAGAAATACCAACAATTTCCATTCCTCGGCGAATCCTTAAGCTTCGTGTCCAGAGGAGCAAGACTTGGCTTGGAGCCACTTTGTAAGGACTTAACCAACATTTAAAGGTTTGTTGTTTGAAAAAAATCAAGCCCCCAAAACCCCAACAACTTCCATGGCTCAGTTTCCTCAAGCACTACTTAACTGCACACTCTTTAGCAACCACACCTGACTTTCACATGCATTACGTGAAACCACAAAGAGCTGTGGCTTCTCCAGGCTGCACTTCGGTGGGGGGAAATAATACATAACGCTTTCTTCCTGTAAGCTATTACCACGAAGCAAATGCATCTGCTTTCCCCACGGCAAGGAGCAACGGTGCTCACAGTTGGGTTTACTCTTGCTTGGCTCAACACAGACAGATGGTGGGCAAAGCAAGACTAGATGGACAGCTGGACAGATGGACAAAGGGTTTGCCAAGCAGCCCTTGAATCTGGGGTAATGTTTGTGTGTTTCTGCTGTACCTGCAATTATTGTTGTTTGGCTCCAGCACCTCTTTGCTCATTAGCCTTGGGAACACGATGGAAACGTTTTCCTTTTGCTATTCCCTTCAGATAAAACAGGCAAGATGGAGGCTTTTGGCCTTGCTGCTGGGTTTCAAAGCAAACCGTTTGGAATGTTGTTTAATTTCTGTTTCAAGGAAGGATAAGAGACAAAGAAAAAAAAGTTTTAATCACCATATGACAAAAATTAAAGTTTTTTGATGCCAAATGGAAATTGTTGACTTTTTCTTTTTTCCCCCTCCTTTTCTTTCAGGACCAGCTTAACCCACAGAACTGTCTTGTTCCTCCCCAAACTGAGAGATCAGTCACCTGTCAGGGCCCAGCTAGAAACACAGCTGGACACTCAACCCTCACTGCACACAGCTCTGTAACACTGAATGACTCCCAGCAAGTTTCACAGGTGTTCTTTATTTTCCCAAATACTCCCTATTTATGACCAAAAAGCTGACCTTAAACAACACTAGCTGTAATGTCTTAGAGCTTTTGTTTAATTCTAGGTAATTAAAAAGAAAAAAAAATAACCAGGAGCAAAAATTCCCTCCTACAGGCATCCTTCCTAGATTCTGGTGGGCAGCTGTATCTCAGCAGCTTATGGCCTGATTTGCTGCTGCTGGATGGTTCCTACTTCCCTGTGACGGGGAACGTATATATCCTTTACAGTGCAGTAATACCCACCTGATAAAGCAATAAATAATGGGAGATTTAACAGTATGTGGCTTTTCTATGTGCCCTGCAGGTTTATGCTTTGGTGCTAATATTTATGCCCTTGATTTATTGCCTTTATTTTCTGCCATTGTGAGGAACTCCCACCGCAGGAGGATGAATCTCCCGTCCCAACCCCCTGTGCAGCTGCTGTCCGAGCAGACTCCCTGGCAGGGATGCAGAACACAATACAAATACACCTTGATAACTCCAGCTGTATGCAAAACCCACCGCCAGCTCAGTGCCAGGAGGGAGCAAGATTAGTTGTACCGAACAAGGGATTAAAGCAGAGAGAGAGCAGTGAATGATGTCTTTTTTGGAGAGCGAAAGGTTTAGTCAGCAATTCCCAGCGGTGTACCAGTTAGCAGGTTGGACTGATCTCCAGGATGGGGAAAAGTCCCTAGAGAAAGAAAGGGGTGAACGTAGGAGCAGTGTTGCCATTACATGGGCCGTGACTGCTTCTGCCACGTGTACACTGAGGATTGGTACGGCATCAACCAACGACTGCTGCAGTGCACCAGGCATGGCACAACCTCAGTGCCCTGAGCCTGAGCATGCACTGTGCTCCACACCTGCATGGAAGGAGACGGACTTTGCTCTAAGGGTTTAAGCACAGTCATACAGAAGGATGGGAGAGAAGAAGAGAGCAGAAGTCGTGAACTAAATATACACAGATCGAAGTCGAGAGCTGTGGGCAAATGGCTGTGGGCTGTTCTGCTGCCATGTCCATGGGACAGAAGGACCCCAAGAGCCATAGCCTCTCTTCCATGCCTGAACCTCCCTGCCAGGAGGCTTGCTCCATATAGCTACCTTCTTTTGTCCCCATAAGGTACCTATATCCATGTATATAGTGTGGGCAGTGTGGAATAAAGCCCTGGGCCAGTACAGGGAGCAAAGCAGCTTGCTGTGCGCCTGCCTTGGAGGAATGGGACCCCTAAAAGGCACATGAGAAGTTCATTACCATATGCAAGAGCAAATCCAAATGCTTGCAGGCAATATCTTATTAAAAGCAGACCCTGGAACCTCACAAAAAAGCAAACACTAACCTGCTCCATGTGCTGCACAAATACAAACAGGCTTGCAAAGAAAGCCAGCCCAACCTCAGAGCATGCAACCACTTCCTAAACTCCACACAGATAAAGCCAAGTTTCCACCACAAGGGCAACCTAACGCAGCTCCGGCTCCAACAAAATCATTTGACTCCTTCCATCGGCTATTTCCATGGAGAGGGAGTTGTCTCGGCCTTCTCGAGCCCAGGAGCTGCACTGACAGCCATGGGAGAGCTGAGTTTTAACAAACAGGTGCTTGAAATGTGGGGCTCTGCAGCTACACGGATGACTAATATCCACCGGGCACCTGTGCATGCCAGTGGCAGCTTTCCTGCTGAGCTACATGCCCAATTAGGACCCATAATTGCACACAGATATTATCTAGGTTGCTGATGTCTTTGACCAGCTAAACGTCTCAGTACAAATGCGCATAACTCAGCCTGTGAGCAGCTCCACCGAGGCCCAGGTCGGTGTGTTTAAGGCCATCAGGATTTGTGCAGCTTGCTGCAAGCAACCTGGGGAAGAGAAGGGTTTATCCTTAAATTCAGCATGAGCTAGAGGTGAGTTATTGGATACATACAGCAGCATACAACACGAGTGTCTCCTTTCCAGTGCAGAGAACCTAAAAAGACAAATGCAGAGAAAAAAAGGAATTCACAAAACATTTGCATCAGAGGATATGGCAAAGCAAAGCCCCACAAGACCCCTCCCAGCCCCAGACTGTTACACAAAAGGCATCAACAATACATTTTTCTGTATTTAGCAAGTCAGCAATGCATTTTTTGAACTGGTGGCTGCAGAACACCAGCTCCCATGCTCACATCCCCAAAATCGTCCCACAAACTGTGTATTGTGCTGACCTAGGAGCCCAGAGGTTGTATCCTCGGAGTACCTGAGTTACGTTAGTGTCAGCACAGGGGTTCAGAGCATAAATGAACCTCCTGTAACATGCACAGAAAGAGCACCAGGAAAAGGGATGCTGCTTTGGGTTTTCCCTCCTGATTCCATGTCTGGAGAAGTTGTAGCTCAAACTTTAATCTCAGGCAACTTTACTGAGGGTGCAAAGGCAGCTGGCGAGCCCCAGCACCGCTCCCAAGCCACAGAGAGCTGCACCCAAAGCGCCCTGCTCAGCTAGTAAGGTACCCAAGGGCCAGCATAGCCTGTCTGTCCTCCAGCCACCCACACCCTGCTGAGACACAGGCCACTCTTTGAGCCAAAATATTTGGCAAAGCACAGCAAGCAGCACGGCAGGCCAGGACATGGCTCAGGCCATGAAGACAGGAACATGTCACGTACCTTTTGCCTCCTAGATCCAGACATTGAGCAGAGACAGCTGGGTCCAGGCACTGGCTTTGCACTCTCGTACCCAGCTAATGGGTGTTTGGTTTTCACTCCCAGCGCACCTGTGGAAATATTGTCCAGCAGTTACCAGGGATTTTCATATTACTGTCACTGGTGACAATTTTCTGTGCAATATGCAGTGGAAAAGACACACCGATGCCCTCAAAGCATGCTTTCCTCTGTCCTGTGGATAGCTTCTTTTGTTAACGATTTTCTTGAGATAACTGGGACAGCAAATTATTTTGAAATTGTTCTCAAAGGTATACAGATATTCCATTTTTTTGGCTGACAGCTTTAATTATTCAGCCCTGCTGTAGCACCAGATGAAATATAATCATAGGAACGGGCTTCCAACACCACAAATAATAGCCAGTTGTGGGGATGGCATGTTAAAATCAGCAGTGAAAAACAGCGCATACTCTCTGACCTCTACCCAGCAAAATCCTACTGTTGCTATAGCTGCTGTTCTGGACAGAGCGGTATTTCTGTTAGCAGTCACTTGTGAGAGAAAAGGACAACAATGCCTTTCCCTGAATCACTCCTGTGGTTCCCAGTCCGTGTGTCTTACCAGCAGACTGATCACTCATTTACAGCACAGAGCTATTAAAAAAGGTAAAAATTTCTGTGCCACACCTGACATACATTTCCCATTTGCTCCTGTGGAGAGGCTGTGGTTCACGCACAAGATCTGTGCTTCTGCAACAGCTCTCCTTAAAGCCAGCCCTCCAATGATTAGTGCTCTCCAGCTCATATTAGGGCCTTTCAGTTCAGGTTGAAGGGATAGCTCAGAAGAGGCACCCCAGAGTGCCCAGTCTGATATGCAAAACCACCGAGATGATGATGAAAATCCAATTAGAGCTTCCTGGGGCACAGCTCCTTACACCTTACACTGTGTTGTATTTTTTCCTGCAAGCGACACCATAAAGACATTAATTACAGCAGCAGCACAATACAGGATTTGAGCAGTCTGGCAAACCCCTGACCTGGTTTTTGCAGGCTCCTCTGATGGTGCCCAGCCATGGAGGCTGCTCTCCCCCCACACCAACCCACAGGAGCTCCCTCGAGCAGCCCCACAATGGCTTTCTCCAGAGCAAGCCTTGCTCCACCGGCCCAGCAGACACTGATGGTGACCCTAGATCATGTAGACAGGCTGAGTTTTGTAGTGGTGGCTCAGGCCCTCCGGTGCTCTGCCTCCATCCCACCCGAAACCACAAATCACATCTGCACTTGCAGGGACATTTTACCACCAAACATAAAACTGACATTTCTTTTTTATCATTTACGGGAGCTTAAGAAAAATAAAACTTCTACTTTCTTGCTTTTCGGGTGAAGCTTTTCAAGCCATCTAAGCCCTTCTGATGGGTTTATTACTTAAAACATGTGTTGGAAGGCAGAAAATCCTGCCCAGAGCCTTCGGGCACTGCACCCAGGAGGACTGAAACCTTCCAAAATGACCCCAAAGTTCAGAAGTGAGCCATGGTGAGGAAGTACATCAAAGCCCAAATGTGAGTGGAAAATGTCACTAAGTGCTTCTAAAACCTTGCTGAAATGGGGTACAAGAGACACGGTGAGAGGACTTCTGTCTGGCTACGATCAGTGAGGTCGAGGAGCACCAGGCTGGTTGGAAGAGGAAGGGCATCAACTTGGCTGACAGCAATGTGGGGCTTTAAGACGTCCGAGCCATTGTGCATAAATACTTCTTTAAGTGATTTTCAGTAAGGGAGCAGCTAAATGGCCAGGCTGGAAAATAATTAAAAGCTAAGGAAAAATGGAAAGAACATGGTGAGGAACAGGACCTCGCCAACTCCGTTTGTCAAAGTGTTCAGTCTGGTTCCTGTCTGGCAAAAGTCAGAAACACTGGCTGGGAAATTCACTTAGTTAAGAAGAGAAGGAAGAGCAAGAGTAAGTAATTAAGGTTCACATTATCCTTTGAGTCTGGCATCTACTTAAATTAGCTCATTTGATCTCTACTTTCTCCTCTAATCTGAGTAGTTCTGAAAGCATTATTACAGGACCCAGGTCTCTCTTCTGCTTTACCTCTTGGCCCTCCTGTTTATCCAATTAATTTCTTTGCTATGTATTTTACATTCCCTTGTCTGCATTTACCAGTTCCCCTTCAAGCCCTGTCTGCTCTTTCTGCTTGTGCTCTCAGCTTCCTTCCCGCACAATGCATTTGGGTTTGGGTTCATACATTTTTAGTAAACAAATTTCCAAGGCTTTTCTTAAGGCTGCTCAACCCTGTTTTGGTTATTTTAAAGCAAGGCAGTTTTCGATTTGCAGGTGCTGAAGGTCACCACTGTAAGGATTCAGAAGAGCAGCACCCTTGGGCTCTGCACCGAAAATCCTTTTTGTTAGCCGTCCTGCTGCCTTCTGTGCGCTTGGGAAGGAAGCAGTCCTACAGGCCAGATGTACTCTCAACGTTAAAACAAGACCCACTGGATTTTATTAGCAATTTTCTACTTTGTTAGCAATTTCACGCTGCCTATTAACATTTGTTTTTTTATATATTGTTATCACTCATCATGAAAGGCTAATCCTATTAGTGCTTTCCGTATTGTATTACAGAAAACAAACAAGAACAGCACAGCTATTCCTCCCTGTGCCATTCCCATGTACTTACAGACCACGTTTTCCTCACTGTCCACCTGCCAAGGCATGGCAGGTGGGAAGGTGCCACAGCAAACATGCTCAAAGGTGCAAAAATCAGAGAGGAGCTCTTTGCAGGCAGCGCGGAGCGATGCTCTTTCATGTACAGGAGCGTCTTGTTGAATCTAATCAGAAGTGATGTGTTTCCTGGTAGCATTTTTTCTTCCTCCAGTTACAAAACAATTTAACAGAAATCCTTTTGTTATCAGTTTTAGTATTTTTTCAATATTGCCAACAGCCAATACCATCCTGCTTCAGTTTGATTTTTAACTGAAACTTCAAATAGATTAGTTTTAGTGAAATCACTAATGAAATATCTATTCTAAAATCTATCCTAATTGATTCATCCCCCACTAAATACTGTAAAACATTTTCTGCAAGAGACATGCATGCATGCAGATGCATCTACAAAACACATTGATGCAGTATTTAAAGTGGAAGCATGATATTCTTGTTCATTATGAGCAGGGGAATGTAGGTCAGACTTTTGGATATATATCCTAAAATTGTCTTTTCCTTTTTTTTTCCCTTGTCACCCTGGAGTTCATTACAGGGTAAAAAGCAGTAGCAGCAAGAGATGTCAGCGGTAACGTCCCCGAGAGGTGCACCATGCTGCTCGGGACAAGAGCTGCCCGTGCTGCTTGTACCGCCCTGAGCCCTGTGCTTGTTCAGAAGTACGTGATCCTGAAATGTCAGAAGACATCTCTATAACGTGCTGCAGCATCTCACAAAAAAAGGGCCCAAATGTTTGTCCTACGCAGCAGGGCGAGTTTTCACCTTGCTGGTGCATTTGCATTCATAACGTTTTTTAGGCTTCATAATCCTGTTTTTGCTCTCACATCTGGGACCACATTAGCCTGACTTCCATTTAATCCAGGGACTATCAAGAGAAAGAGAGAGGGGTACATCTTCTGCGTAGTGGCTGTGAAATTGCCCTTATCCTTTGATATATTAAAATTGAAGTGCTGTAAATTTCTGTTGTCATGGAGATATTTTCCATGCCACGCCGCGATTGGCCATCTGAATTCACTTTCCTTTGGGTTTTCCAGCCTAATTAACTGTTATATTTTTTTGCTGGTAGAGAGGAAAAACCCACATGAACGCTTTTTGGTCTGTGATTGCATCCCTTGCAGAGCAGACTTCATTTTCATGTACTATTAAAGGCAAAACGCACCAGCTTGGCTTGTATTTATAGAGCAGAACTACTGGGGGGCGGGAGGGGAAGGCAGTAAGGCTCACGAAGGAGTCGAGCGTTATCGGGTCTGAGCACACAGTTGGTATTTATATCTGTAACGCAAAACAGCACAACCCTGGCCAAGCCTACATGCTGCGTGCTACAAGGGCAGGGCACGGCGGCGATGTGGGCGGTGAGGCCGTAACCGCAGGTGAGCGGGGCTGCAGGCAGAGCAGGCAGCAGAAGGCAACCGGGGCTCCCAGTGACCCTGGTGCATGGCACCCAGCCGCAGGGATCCCAAATGACACGTGCAAACTGTTCGTCTGGGGCCAGGCAACACAAGAGCACCTCTGGGCAAGGTCCAAAGCAGGCCAGTACCAATTATACAAAGAAGCACTGCATTTACTCATGCCTTTATTTTCCTTCCCCGTGTTGCTGGATTCTCCAGACGACTTCAGAGCCTAGGGATGAGCTGTCAGATTCGGAGAGTGGGCAATCCCACTTATTTTACATATATCCCCATGCAATTTCAGCTTACTGGTACGCTTCCAAGTGTCAGATACAACAAGTTAAACACCCGTGATATCAGATGCTGTTTGAAGAGAATGACTGGGGTACAGGTTCATCCATACCCAACCCCCAGTGATTAGGTTGATAATAAATTCAAAGCTAATTTATCTGCTCCTACAAGGTCTGCAATATGGACAGGCCTTGAGATCAGCTTCCCGTATGTTTTTCAAATTAAAGCGTCTTTGATGTACTTCCCTTCCTGCCTTTGAACATTTGGAGTCCATTGGTAACAAACTGAATGCTTTGGTACTAAATAGACTCCCTTCTCCTTCCCCCCAAGAGGATTAGCATCAGGTCTTAATTTACTAATGGACTAGAGACATCCATTAACGTAGCAATTAATTCAGTGCTAAAGTGCCTGTACGATGGAAACACGCTGAGTGCACAGGGAAAAACATTACTTGTGACGTTTTCCCAGTGAGCATCACAGGGCTAGGGTAGAAAAGACAATTTAACAAAGAAATAGCGCATTTATTCCTCGTCTGCAGCTCTGTGTCTAATTACAGCGTTTGACAACAATCCTACACTCGATTTTGGATTTTTGGATGAGCGTCCAGCTTTTTCCGTCGTTCAGAAATTAAGCGCAGTGCCAGCTCGCGCCAGCACAAACAGCGGCGGCTCCCTCTGAGCTTGGCAGAGCGCTGCCAGCAGCAGGGCAGGGTGCTGGCTCCC